CCCGCCGCCCAGGGTTGGGGGCCGGAGGGGGGGTGGACAGTAGGTCCCCCCCTCATTATCTTCATGGCCCCCACCCGCCGCCCAGGGTTGGGGGCCGGAGGGGGGGTGGACAGTAGGTCCCCCCCCTTATTATCTTCATGGCCCCCACCCGCCGCCCAGGGTTGGGGGCCGGAGGGGGGGTGGACAGTAGGTCCCCCCCTCATTATCTTCATGGCCCCCACCCGCAGCCCAGGGGTGGGGGGTGGACAGTAGGTCCCCCCCCTCATTATGTTCATCTGTCTGATGAATGAATAGACAAAATTCCCATTCGCATGTCCAGGTGTTTCACTGGGCATGTGCGGGAATCTCACAGTCTGCCTAGTGTGGGCTGATGACGTGTCCCACAGGGACTTCATCTACCCACACAAAGATGGTGGCGTCCTGAATAAAGATCCAGGCAGAAAATAAGGAATACAATAGGTAATGTGGGGGGCTTAGGGGCATTTGGGGGTGACTAGGGTGTTAGTTAGATGTAGTGGAGGCCGGAGGGGGGTTAAAAAAACAAAACAGGATTCGGCATGACAGTGCCGCTTTAAGATGATGTTACTGCCTAAACTACTATACATATTCAGGATGCTACCCATTCAGGTCCCCAAAAGCTACTGTCTAAAAGTGCAAAAGCTAGAATAGCAGGTGGGATTCTGCAAAGACCCTTGGAGGCAGGAGGTATGGGAATTCCCCAGAGAACACTTTTAGCACATGCTATTAATTCACATGCCATATACGTATTACGAAATTGTAATTGCTATGCTGTAATGTGTTTCACGACATACAGTCCTGAAGCACAGTTGTTATCTAAATCAACATTTAAAATATCAATAAACATAAGTTATGAAAAAAGTGGTGTTGGGTTATTTTATTTTTTGTTGAGAAAATGTCTAATAGTGATGCAAAATGTGTCCTCTTCTTAGTTTCATTTAGGTTAATATTTTGTGCTTCTCCCCCCATTTTTTTATGCCAAGGGCAGGGTTTTATTTGCAATGCTTTCTCAGTTTCATAAAATTAGAGTCTGAGAGACAAAAACAGTTCAGCTGTAACAGCATCTTTGCATGCTGAGTTAGGTTCACGTCTTGAGTAAAAATTCCCACCACTACAATAAAAAAAAAGTACTGCATATGAGACACAGTTTGTTAATCTCCTAAAACAGCATAATTTTACTATGTTTTAGGCATACAGATGCCTTGAATCCAACTGTCCTTTTTCCCCTCAGCATTTCTTTTGGTGTACATGCTACACAGTTTCCAGCTGTCCATGAGAAGTCTAGTTTTCTGTGAAGGAAGCAAAGTTCTACAGCCACATGTGGTCAAATTTAAATTTCATTTAATTATAGCTCCAGTCGAGGAGCTATAATTAAATGAAATGTTTTCTGACTAATCAAACTGCTGAAGTTTGCATAATATCCCATAATTGAGCTATGCATATCCTAAGCTCCTGCCGTGCATTGAAAATGCTCAGCTTTTATATTGAGATGGCTAGGATTGACCAGACATGTCAGCAATTTCCTAGTTTTGGAAGAACACCGTGGAGCAACTTGCAAACGGAACATTTTTTATATATATTTTTATGAATTCCCTAGGTTAGCAGAGTAAATAGGTAATTGGGAAAATTTGATAAAGTCTGCCAATTAACATATGACATCTAGAGATGATATATTATTACCTTGATAAATTAATAAACATTGCATTTGAATGATTATTTAAAAATGTCACAGAGCCAGCCATCACTTACCTACTCCAGCGAGCCTGCGGCATCTTTGTCATAAGATATATTTTCACCTGTTTTGCATTTTTCAATGTTTTTCCTTTTTTATTATAAAACTGGTGAATTGGTGAATGAAGATTCAGAAATATGTAAACACCAGAAAATCATATTATTATTAGGGGAAAGTATTGGTAGGTTGCATGGGACTGATACAAGTTGTCACCTGATAAAATGTAAGGAAACCTTATTTCTTGCATTGGTTTGACCACAATTATTGACCTTTGCATCTGCAAACACCCTCAGACACCTTTGCTATCATTTCTGACACTAGAGACTGTAGCCTCTATTGATTATGTGATAATGTAACACTGACATTATTGCATCAGTGCCACTCCCACTCACATTTTACAGCATGACTATCAAGTTTAGAAAAATGTCGCCTCAGAGAGGATATGATAACATTATACAAATATATCGAGGGCCAATGCAAACTATTGTGTGGAAAGCTATTCACAAACAGGACTTTGTATAGGACACGAGGTCATGCGTTTAGACTGAAGGAAAGAAGATTTAGTCTAAGGCAAAGGAAAGGATTTTTTTCCATAAGAATAATAAGGCTATGGAATTCTCTGCCTGAAGAAGTGGTTTTATCAGAGTCCGTACAGATGTTTAAACAGTAACTAGATGCATACTTGCAAAAACAGAATATTCAAGGAAATCATTTTTCAATGTAGTGTAATAGCTTCTTGATCCAAGGATAAATCTGAGTGCCATTATGGGGTCAATAGGGATTTTTTTTCCTAGTTTGTTGCAAAATTGGAAATGCTTCAAACAGAGGTTTTTTTGCCTTCTCTTGGATCAACAGCAAAAAACAAATGTGAGGAAGGCTGAACTTGATGGACACATGTCTCTTTTCAGCCTATGTAACTATGTAAGTAAACACCCCATGCCTATATATATAAGTTTAGTAAAAATGAAAATACAGCGCAATTCCCTTATCTACTAAACAGCTACTTTGGTGCTGACCGATTTCGCTAGTTTTTTTAAAAACACCTAATCTAGGCAAAATAAAATAATGGGGGTTTAGCTTTGGAGTCAGATAGAGAGACTCTACTGAGTAACAACAAACCCGAGACAGCCACCATCCTTCCTCCACATATGATCGGAAAATACAATGCAGGATGGGACAAAGTGAAATCTGGCATCCAGCGGTTCTGGCCACACCTAACTGGAGATACCCATCTCATAAAAGATTCTGGGCCAAAAAGTGGAAATGACGGCATGCAGAGGTAAAAACTTGAGACCTCTTAGTGCCTAGCCACTTTCAACCCCAACGTTCCACTATAAAAACCTGGCTCCATACGCCCATTATTGGCTCATTTCAATGGGGGCACTGTGTTGCCTGTAAATATATAAAATGTGACTCCTAAAAAGTGTCTGACAGTGAAAATAAACAATTCTTCAATATCACTTCATTCTTTAACTGCAACACCGCAGGCTTAGTGTACCTACTTACCTGCGAATGTGATTGCAAATACATAGGCAAAACCTTCTGTCCCTTTAAAGAAAGGATCAAAGAACATGTCAGGTCACGAAGCTCACTATAGAAACACTTATTGCCCGACACCTTAAAGAACATCATTCAGGCAAATCACATGGTTTGTGATTCTGTGGGTTAGAGCTAGTGAGACGGGACAAAAGAAGAGGCAACTATGACAGGTTCTTAAGGCAACGTGAAAGTTTTTGGATTTACCGGCTTAAAACTTTATAACCTAAAGGGATAACCAAAGCTTTTTCTTTTGCACCATTTATTTAATTCTTAATTTATTTGTATATATATGTTTGTGATTTATAAAATTGACCTGTTGAGGTAGGGACTTTTTTACTGTTCAACAATATATTCAGTTCTAGACTACATAGGACACTCTACTCAAGTATCAGTGGAGAGATGTCTGGACCAACCATAAAGCTATACAGCATCAATTACTGAATATTTGACTCTTACATTAGGGATTTTGCTTAGTTATAAGATTTGAGTGGATATAGGATGATTGCTTGCAATAAACTTCATCACCACCTTGCTTCTTTATAATACTATACATACTATCCCATTCACATTCATCCCATTAATACCTCAGGAGCTCAACTTTTTCTTTAAAATTCACACTTCAAACATATGTACTTAATTTTGATCAGTTAATCAGTTTTCTTTGTGAACTTAATCTATTATTGGAAGTTCCCTGTTCCAGGGACTCTATTTACATAATGACATCATTTGGCATTCGAGGAGTTAATAATTTCTCTCCTCACACCGATAATCAAATGGATGCCACTCATCCTTTGGTTCCCACCCATCAACAGGCGTCTGCCGATTACACTGGTGATGTCATGAATCTAATGGGCGGGACTTACAAGGTTTAAATAGGGGCGCAAATTTCATTTGCAGTTAGCTCTTGACAAAGGCACATGCTGGCGCCGAAACGCGCATTTTTATATTGATATCACTGTATATATATATTTTGCACTTAACTTTTTGTCTATATAATTTATCCCTCCGGGGACCAATAAAAGTTTATTCTTTTATTTAAGTTCTTTATATGCTCTAGGACTGGCAATTTGATGCCCTACATTGGTGGAGCGATCCTTACTAGGGTATTGGGACTGATTCTGGGAACGCCATTTGGTTAACCCTTTTCAGTTTCTTCCTCTTTTTTATATATATATATGTATATATATATATATATATATATATATATATTTGTGTTAGGTGCTTATGATAGTACAGTGTGAAATACCATAAATAAATGTAGGATAGTAAAAAGAGCAAGTCGGTTGTGGTGTGCCGGAACCGACGATGAGGTAGGCCTGAGAAAGAAGAGGGCCTACCCAGGGAAAGAAAATAGAAAATAAATGTTAAAATGTGGTGTGGTGGGAGAGTATTCAACGCTGACCTTGAATGGTAAGGAGCCAGGTAAGGGGAGTGCCTTAAGTAGGCTAGGGGTAGCAAACCAGCACCTCCCACAAATCCGGGCAAATTGCCTTAATACATATACATATATATAGATTCCCAGAACTCACATTTAAAGTATACCACTACCGGGCGCAAGACCAAGGCTCCAATAGATAGACAATCCAATGAGGGAGGCTGCTCTCCGGACTTAAAACTTCAGTTTATTATTATTGATTAAAAATGACGACCAACGTGTCGGTCCCCGCTCGGGACCTTCTTCAGGGTCAAATACAACAAGACAATACAGTACATCGCATCTACAAACAATATATACCATTAATAATTAGTGGAATGACTCACCAGGGTGTTCGCCCGTCCCGCCGATACCAAGTGCACTTCCAGGTATGTGCGCGCACTACAAAGCATGCCACGCCTCCCATCATGTGATCATACGTGCCTGACATGATGGACAGTCGGGAAACCTGGTTTCCAAGACAACTGTGTAAACGAATATAAATTGTGAACGTGTCTGAATACGCCAATCCCAATGCAAAAGATAACTTAAGAAGAATAGGATGATAATACTAATGTGATAGTGCATATAGAATATATGTAACTAGTAGGAAGTCATAATCCTATAAGAAATACCGCACAATAATACATACATGTGATTCAGTGTAAAGTGCATCAGATAAAGTGCACCAATAGTTAGCAAATGTATGTATAATAAAGTGCATATATATAAAGGAAAGTACTATAAGTTATTAAAGTGCAAAATAAATATTAAAGTGAAAGTGTGCTAATTATAAAGTGCTACATAGATATTAAAAGTGCTACATAGATATTTAAAATTAATTATTCATATGTATGTTCACATGTACCATATATATATTAAAAACATATTGGCTAGCTGGACATCCCTATAAAAAAGAATGATAAGTAACATTCTCATTAAGTCCCAAAGGCGACACCGTATTTAGTTGATGGATCCAAAACGCTTCTTCTTGAAGCAGTATTTTCCCTCTATTACCCCCTCTCCAGGGGTAAGGGATATGGTCAATGCCCATAAACTTAAGAGATGCTAAGGGATGTTTTTTATCCAGAAAATGCTGGGCAATGGGCTTGTCCGACTGTCCATCCCTATACACCAACCTAATGCTTGAACAGTGGCCCCTAATCCTCTCGCACAGGGGTGTTTCTGTCTTTCCCACATAGTGAAGGCCACACGGGCATACCAATTTGTAAACAATGTGTGGGGTTTTACAATTGATAGGATGTCTTATGTCATATGTTTTATTGGTGTGTGGGTGGTTGAACTTTTTTGCTGCGATCATATGTACACAGGTTACACACCCAAGACACTGAATGCACCCCTTATGTTGTGTTTGTCCACTCTGGAATAACTTTCCACAGGATCCGTGTGTACCAGCATATCTTTAAGGCTTTTATTTTTCCTGTAACAGATCAATGGGCTTTCTTTGAAAATCTTTGGTAGTGTATCATCCAAGGCGACCATTCTCCAATTTTCTTTAACAATTGCTGTCACTTCATTAGAAGAATTATGAAACGTCATGAGGAATACTATCCTCTGTACAGTATCCAACTTGTTGCACACCGGAGCCATTCTAGCTTTCAACAGCGCATCCTCCAATATCTGACGGTCATAGCCCCCAAAACTTCCGGGTCATAACCTTCAATTGTAGCTCAGCCTTTTTGTCATCCGAATTGTTACGGATGACCCTCTAGAATTGCACCTTGGGAATAGACTTTTTCAAAGGAATGGGGTGTGCACTGTCTGCATGTTACAAAGTGTAACGATCCGTTGGTTTTGAAAATAAAGTATACTGGACTCCATTTGTCCCATACGAAAGTTTCAGATTCAGATACTGAACTCTATCCTCACTAATGTTGGTTGTGAATTTAATAGGTTTAGGGAGTAAGTTAAGTTCATCCACCATAGAATGTGCCTCAATACAAGTACCTAGCCAGATGATCAAAAGGTCATCTATAAAACGGTAGTAACCAATGATCTTCTCCTGGTAGGGGGTCAGTATGTGGACCTTCATGTATACATACATGTACGCGTTTACATACATTGGGGCCATGGTTGATCCCATCGATGTTCCTGCTACCTGTAGGTACCACTGTTCCTCAAACCTAAAGTGGTTGTTATGAAGGATTAGAGACACGAATTTGATAGTTGGGCCCCGATAAACCGAAGAACCACATAACACCTGTCGCATTGCCTCAATACCCCCTTTATGGGGGATGACTGTATATAGGCTTTTAACACCCATGGTGATAAATATTGGAGGCTTGCCATCAAATTCCAATGTTTTAATTCTATGCAGGAGAGTCTGCATGTCTTTAATACATGTATGTAACTCCTCTACTGGTCCTTTAAATATAAAATCCAACCATTGTGCTATGGACTCTAGAACGCCTTCTATAGCAGAAACAATGGGGCGGCCAGCAGGTCTGTTCATGTCCTTGTGGATCTTCGGTATACTATAAGTGATAGGAGTGCGAGGATGTTGTTTATTCAAAAATTTATGCAAATCAGGACTGATATAACTGGCTCTGAGGCCCATATCCACTACATCAGATATTTTTCTTTGGATGTCCGTGGGGTCACCGGGTAAAAAAAGTGGGGTCACCGGGTAAAAGACAATATGTATTTGAATCTTGGAGTTGGTGTCTAAGGTCCTCCGCATAGTCCGTATAGTTGTCCGCTGAGCGGATAACTATAGTGTGGTCCTTGGACAAATTTTCAAGAAGTCGTCGCTCCTTTTTACTGATATTGTGCCGTTTATCTCGCTGTTTAGACAAAACTTCTTGCGTCATCTTACATGTGGTTGTAAGGGATGTCTTAATAGATGATTTGATAGTTTGTGGGTCGAATGTAGATTTAACTCTGAATTTCTCTAGGCCCATAGATGTCGATAATGGTGTGTTCTTATTCATAGAGTGAAATAATTCTTTAAGCCTCATATTTCTTCCAAACTGGAACAACTCAGTACTCCACCTAAAGGAGTTGGCCAAACTGGTAGGGACATATGATAGTCCCTTACTGAGGATGTTGACTTCCGTTTCACTGAGTTGTCTATTGGAGAGATTGAAAATGGGGTTTATCTCTGATAGGGGGGTTTTCCCCTTGGCACCACTTTTACCCTTGCGCCCTCTCCTATTTCTGTACCCTCTTCGCCTCTGACCTTGCTCCTGATGACAGTGCCCGTCTCTATCTGGCCTAAAAAAGCAGATGTTTCATTAGGGGTTTCATTCTCCGATGTCAATTCCCCAGAGGTAATGTCTATTGTTGGAATCTTCGGGCGGACAATCCTTTTCCGGAATCGCCTTGGTCTTGATGGACGGTCACCCGATAGCCACCTATATACACGGTGGTCCTTATAGTCTTGTTGGACCATTTCATACTTTTGCTTTTTAAATCTAACCAGTTCATTCTTGTACTTAAGCAATTCCACCTTTAGTTGTTGCTGCAATTTCAGTCCATCAGCTGGGGCCAATAGAATTGCTTGTTCCATTTCTAGTGTCATGATCTGCTGTTTAACTTCTGCTAGATCAGTCTTAAAGTGGCACTGTCATGCCAAATCCCGTTTTTTTTTTTAACCCCCCTCCCGCCTCCACTACATCCAATTGACCCACTAGTCACCCCCAAATACCCCTAAGCCCTCCAGATTAACTCTTTTTAAATCTTTATTTTCTGCCCTGATCTATATTCAGGGCGCCGCCATCTTTGTGTGGGTAGGTGAAGTCCCTGTGGGACACGTCATCAGCCCACACTAGATAGCCTGTGAGATTCCCGCACATGCCCAGTGAAACACCTGGACATGCGAACGGGAATTTCATCTATTCATTCATTCATCAGACAGACGAATGAGTGAATAGAAATATCAGCCGAACAAACAAACACTATGTATCAGTGTATGTTTGTTCGTGCAGGTTATTACAAGGAGGGAGCTACCGGCACGCAGCTCCCTCCTTGTAATATGTAACTATAGAAGCGGCAGGGAGCAGTGCTCCCCACCACTTCATAAGCCCCCCCAGGTCCCCCTCTCACTCTATGGGGGTCAATATGACCCCCATAATAGCACAAGGGAGATTAAAATCTCCCAAATGCCCCTTCTCGCTATACCGCGAGTAGGGGCATGTCTGCTAAACAGTGAGCAGCCTGTGGCTGCTCACTGTTGAAAATAAATTACATAAATTACAATAAGGGGGGGCGGACCTATTGTCCTCCCCCCTCCCCCACCCTGAGCGGCGGGTGGGGCCCATGAAGATAATGAGGGGGGGACCTACTGTCCACCCCCCCAGCCCCCACCCCTGAGCGGTGGGTGGGGGCCCTAATAAAACAATAAGGGGGGGGACCTACTGTCCTCCCCCCCGGCCCCACCCCTGAGCGGCGGGTGGGGGCCATGAAGATAATGAGGGGGGGACCTACTGTGCTCCCCCCCGGCTCCCACCCCTGAGCGGCGGGTGGGGGCCATGAAGATAATGAGGGGGGGGACCTACTGTCCTCCCCCCAGCCCCCACCCCTGAGCGGCGGGTGGGGGCCATGAAGATAATCAGGGGGGGCCTACTGTCCTCCCCCCTGGCCCCCACCCCTGAGCGGTGGGTGGGGGCCCTTATAAAACTATTAGGTGGGGGACCTACTGTCCTCCCCCCGGCCCCCACCCCTGCGCGGTGGGTGGGGGCCCTAATAAAACAATAAGGGGGGACCTACTGTCCTCCCCCTGGCCCCCACCCCTGAGCGGTGGGTGGGGCCCTTATAAAACAATAAGGGGGGGACCTACTGTCCTCCCCCCCGGCCCCCACCCCTACACGATGGGTGGGGGCCCTAATAAAACAATAAGGGGGGGGACCTACTGTCCTCCCCCCCTGGCCCCCACCCCTGCACGGTGGGTGGGGGCCCTAATAAAACAATAAGGGGGGGACCTACTGTCCTCCCCCCCAGCCCCACCCCTGAGCGGTGGGTGGGGGCCCTAATAAAACAATAAGGGGGGGACACCTACTGTCCTGCCCCCCGGCCCCCACCCCTGAGCGGTGGGTGGGGGCCCTAAATGAAACACCCCCCCAATCAAGGTGACTAGGGGTCCCAAGCCCCTAGTCACACCCCCCCACCACCCAAAAAAAAAACTATCCCCTACCTACCCCCCTCACCCTAAAAATAGTGAGGGGGGAATAAAATAACTAACCTGTAAAAAGAAATTAAACTTACCATTTGACATCTTCTTTTTTTTAAAATCTTCTTTCTTCAGCCCCCAAAAAGGCCAAAGAAAAGTCCATCATACCCGTGTTTTATTAGGGCCCCCACCCGCCGCTCAGGCGTGGGGGCCAGGGGGGGAGGACAGTAGGTCCCCCCCCTTATTGTTTTATTAGGGCCCCCACCCACCGTGCAGGGGTGGGGGCCAGGGGGGGACAGTAGGTCCCCCCCCTTCTTGTTTTATTAGGGCCCCCACCCACCGCTCAGGGGTGGGGGCCAGGGGGGGAGGACAGTAGGTCCCCCCCATCTTTATTTAGGGCCCCCACGGGCGGGGGGGGGTTATTAGTTTTTTTTGGTTTTTTTTACAGTGAGCAGCTATAAGCTGCTCACTGCTTACTACACATGCCCCTACTCGCGATATAGCGAGTAGGGGCATATTATTTACTAATACTAAGTAATCTTTACTTAGTATTAGTAAATGTGGCTGAAAGACCAATTTTGGTCTTTCAGCCTTTTAGTAGATAGCTCCCTGATACCGTGGGAATTAGGGAGTTATCTACCAAGCGGCTGCAAGATGCAGCCGTGGAAATGAATAGGATCAGAGTTTCATTCATTAGAATGAAATTCCGATCCGAATAAAGTGCCGAATTGCGTTCTAAAACAAACGAACATACTGTTCTCATTTAGTTAGAACGCAATTCGGCAGTTTCGTCTAAAATGACAGGAAGCATCGTGGGAACACAGAGGGAAGGTAAGGATCATGGGAAAATTGCTCTGACCAGCGGAAATGAAGCACACTTTGATCCTCCGCTGGTCAGAGCTGGTCAAGCGGAGGAATCCTCCATAAGGCAAAGAGTCCCTACTTTGTCTTATGATTTTAAAGAAAACTAAAGAAGACAGGAAGAAAAGAAGAACAGATCCTGAGAGAGGGGGAGAAGAGGAAGAGATTGAGGAAAGGTAAGTTCGGCATGACAGTGCCGCTTTAACATCTTTGATTGTTATAAGCATAAGGTTTAATGAGGCATTATTCAAAACATGAGTCCAATCTCTACATACCGTTGCTTTACCATTGCTACCAATCGTTGGTATATTTAATAGCCTAAAGCCACGTGGAATCACTTTAGCCTTGAAATAATCCGACAAAAACAAACCATGTAGGTCCAAATTCACACCTTTCTTATGCAGACGTAGCAATTTGAAATAAACATCTCTAGACGTATGATTAGGTAACTCCTGGCTCGTTTGTTCCCATAAAATTTGGGATGCTTCTTCAGGGGTAAATTGTAATGTTTCAGCATGTTCCATATAGGTGCCAGCTTGCACAAGAAATTCATCCATGTCATCAAATGAAAACCAAACTTGTACAAAAAAATTAATTAATGATGAAATATTGTCAGTAATACAGGAGCTAAATGTGCACATTTAAATTAAAATGATAAATGGATAGCACTGCAGACGGGTGCACAAAGGGTGGGGAGGTAAAAAAATATAAAAAAATATATATATATATACAAAAATATCTATAGATCCCCAGCACTCACATTTAAAGTATACCACTACCGGGCACAAGACCAAGGCTCCAATAGATAGACAAACCCGGTTTCCAAGACAACTATGTAAACAAATATAATCCTATTTTTCTTAAGTTATCTTTTGCATTGGGATTGGCGTATTCAGACACGTTCACAATTTATATTTGTTTACACAGTTGTCTTGGAAACCAGGTTTCCCGACTGTCCATCATGTCAGGCACGTATGATCACATGACGGGAGGCGTGGCACGCTTTGTAGTGCGCGCGCATACCCGGAAGTGCACTTGGTATCGGCGGGACGGGGCGAACACCCTGGTGAGTCGTTCCACTAATTATTAATGGTATATATTGTTTGTATATGCGATGTACTGTATTGTCTTGTTGTATTTGACACTGAAGAAGGTCCCGAGCGGGGACCGAAACATTGGTCATCATTTTTAATCAATAATAATAAACTGAAGTTTTAAGTCCGGAGAGCAGCCTCCCTCATTGGATTGTCTATATATATATATATATATATATATATATATATATATACATATATATATATATATATATGTTTAGCAGCTGTTCAAGTCTCAGAGCCCATAAAAGTGCTATTATTTTATAGTGTATCAGATCACCACTATGTTAGACTTTGACATAAACCTGTTCCTGTATGTGTACCAGACCTGGCTGTTTCCTGACATTGATTTTCAGTAACCCTGTAACTTTTCTTATTCATTATTTTTATCATGGCTGTTTATATTTTCATTTTTCTCCTTCTGATCAGAGTAAATCCATAGCATTAGTTTAATTATCCTGCTTTGTGTTAAGTCCAACCACTTTAAGGTTCCATAATATGCCTATCTCTTCTTATTTTGCCTTTGTTAGGATTGCTGCCTTGTATCTTGCTGAGGATCTTAATGTGTTGTGACACCAAGTAAAAAAGAATGATTTGAAGGCAAGCAGAAAAGAGGGGATCCACCAAAATCAGCATCATCTAAAAGTCAGCAAGTCTCTGATAGACACATGGTTGGAGTCACAGATTAATCAGGAAATAGTGTATTTACTTCAGCATTGTCAGTAGGTAAGGCATTCCTACCCCCCCTCCTCCCCCCAACCTGTGTCTGATCTTGTAGAGTTATAATTTTGATGCAGTAAGCATATTTTTTTTTTCAAATGTATTCAAATTGTTTTAAAAAATAATTTTGTACATATATTTATTTATTAATGATTATAACTATTAATGTGTTATGTTAACCTAGATCCTTAATTGGTTAGATAGCTGGTGTCATATTGGATGGATTTTTATCACACAGGCTATCAATTTAATTTAATTACATTTTGACCTTCTTTGGTTTCTTCTTAAAGTGATGGTTTCATGCATTGAATTTCACTGGTTTCTTGCATAATCTGGTAGAAAATGTGACATTTAAGACTTCTAGTTTGCGAGGCTGAGGTAGTTTTAAAAATGTTAAATATTGTTATAGCTTTCTTTCTTCTTTTCTTTTGGACTAGAATTCAAAGAAAAGAATTCGGACTAGAATTCAGTGACATAAAACAGGTAATTATTCTAAAATAGTCAAATTACCCATTAAATGAGCAAGATCTAAAGGGCTTCTGTGTCTCCTAACTTCACCAAGTGCATTTCGAGTTCTGTACCAATATCAGGTAAAGACCACTTTAAGAGAACCTTCATGGTCCCCAGTTTTCCCACCAGACCACCAGACCATGATTTTGCTCAAATTTCTCTAGAGCACCAGGGATCCTGTTCACCTTCCACCAGGGAAGGTAAGCAGAAGAGGGGAAAACCATGCGCAGCCACATGCCACTCAGTTTTCCAATACACACAGACAATATTTATACACACAATACTCAACCTGCACACACTGATACATGCAAACAGAGTAATACAGGACAAGCCAAGGATAATAGAATGTAGATAATAGATAAAAAGGTCAAAGAAAAATCATAAGCCATGGACTTTTTGACTGTTCCATTACCATTGTTTCTGAAAGTATTGTTGATACTTATTTCTGTATTTTTTTTTTCTGTTGATTACTGATGCCTTAAATGTTACCTTGCCTGTGTGTTAATATCTTTTTTTTTTTTTAATCTGTTTTTCCAGCATCTCTAAATATAGAAGCATGGTTCAACCAGGCAGACAGCCCTAGTTCCATTTTGCCACACACCTAGATGATTCACTAACTCGAATATCACTTTTAGAGGAGAATCTAGAAAATAGCACAGCATCAAAGTGTTAGGTAAAAAGTGTAAATTACGTTATGAGGGTGCTACAATAAGTGTACAATGATAATCTGCCACAGTACCTTTTTACTATTTAATGTAGTAGTTCCTAGTAGATATGTTTTACAGACTTGGCATTATGCAGACATTTTTGTTTTTCATTATCCACAAATGTTTAGCTTTTGGCACTATAGACCCCCCTCTTTTAAATATATTTGATTATTACATTTAAACATAAATAAGACAACAGGGCAATGTAAAGCTTGAGTAATAGAGAAAAATACATAGCAGTGTCTTGGTGCCCCTAGTGTAAATGACATTTTCACTAACTATGCATTGTAAGGAATGCAATACCTTTAATTCTACATCATTTAGCATATTACAAAAACGTTGATGATCAATGACATTATTAAGACACTCGGTCTGCAGCCTTGTGTATTATTGTTATAGAACTCCTTGATGGTTTGTAACATTGTTATTAAATATCATTGACAGCACAATGTTCTATATATTAGTATTACGTTAATTGTAATGAATATATTTTTTAATTGTGCAAGCTTTATTTAAAAAAAATATTAAACTTTTTTTTTAAAGGAGCAGTGAAGATTGTATTTACTCTACAAGCAATTTCTTTGGAATTTAGACAAAAATGATGCTGCCAAAAGCTTAGCAAGGCCAACATTAAATTGCAAATAGAAAGATAGCTCTGGCATTCATAGTCAGGATGCATTTAGACCAATGGGCTGAAGTCTTAGAATATATCTGGATGTATGTACATGAAGGTGTGTGTGTGTGCATGTGGGTATGGTTGTGTGCATTTGTATGTAAATTTTATTAATTATTTAAAAATATATAAATATATCTTCTACTGCATATGCTGCACTACTAAAAAAAACTAAAATGTAGTAGATGGTTTAGAAGTGTTTATAAAACACTAAGATACCTGTTGATAATAAAATAGACATTATATTGTAAAAGATAATTTAATTGATTCAAAATCCAAAAATCTTCCCCAGAGAAGCTGATTGTCAAGAAGCACAATTAGTAAATAGTTGTGATCCATTTTCCCTGGTTTGTGATGAATTACAAAGACTTTTGTGACAGATTGTTAGCCTCTAAAGAGTACACTTTCTATCAGTAATTTTCTTTTAACAAACTCCGTTCTTTGTGAAAATTACTTTGCCTTGAGGTGGTGCATTACACAGTCACACATTGTGCTATAGTCATTTAGAGCAAGTAGTTGCATTTAGAGCAAAAAGGTTAAAGCAAAGTATGCCAGTCAATATTGCACTTGAAGATATTGACAAAAAGTAAAGAGAAAAGACACGTAAAAAGTACGTTTTGTCTTTTTTTTTTAAATTTAGAATTTTAAGTTCTGTCTTACTCAATGGATTTTTTAATTTTTCTAAAGTTGTAATTGAACACTCTATAAGGAAAAAAAAATGAGACATAATATAATATTCTCATAAATTCCAATAAGATATAATAACTATAACAAATAGTAAATATGTTTTACACACAATATAGGCTTATACATTTTTACAAAATAGTGCTTATTTTTTTTTTACAAAGATGTTAGCTATATTTGGTTTCCTTGCAATCACAGGTTATCTTCCCATCCCAGTTAATAGGATTTTAAATATAAATTAGAAAAGTTGCTTTAACCCCTGTATCACAACTCAACTTTGAACTCTATGTGTCATTTCTATGTGCTCAGAAATGCTTCAGACTTGAGAAAGGGAGGTTCTCCCGGAAGCTTGTCATTAAAAAAATCTGTTAGTCCAATAAAAAAGGTATTACAAGATACACATTTTATATATATATATATATAAAAAAAGATTATTTTTTAAAGTTTTTTACATCTACATGACTGGACTTAATACTGCTACACTCTCTACTTGAACACCACACACACACACACTAAAAATGATAACTTTGACCAGTGTTTGTGACTAAGACTGGAAATAACCCATTTTGAATACCCTGGGTTGTCTACATTTGAAAATGGTATACTATGATGGGGTTATTTTCACATTCCTGGGCTACCATATAGTCACAAAAGACAAACCAATCTGGTAAACTGAATAGTGCAAAATAGAAATAACAATGATCCCAAGGCACACCAATTTGCACATAAAAAAAGAGATAATTCATACATACAAAGTACACCAGAATATCTTAACAGAAGGAAAGTGCATAGCCCATTAATAGTACCAAAAACCACAGTAATAAATTACAAGATGCAATCACCCATTAAAAAGGTATACTGACCAAGAGCAGGAGAAATAAAACCACCGACGTTTCAGCTATGAAGCCTTCCTCTGGAAGACCTATATTCCCCTATATTGATCCTATAACTTTCCAAAACACCATAAAACCTGTACATAGGGGGCATTGTTATACTCAGGAGACTTCGCTGAACACAAATATGAGTGTTTAAAACAGTAAAACATACCACAATGATGAAATCACCAGTAAAAGTGCAGTTTTTGTGTAAAAAAATTTGAACTCTAACTTTGGCAAGCGTTTGTGGCCAAGTGGCTACTACAAAAGACTAAACATACCCCATTTTGAATACCCTGGGGTTGTCTACTTTACAAATGGTATGCCATGATGGGGTTACTTTTCATTCCTGGGCTGCTATATGGTCTCAAAGACAACATAGGCCCAGCTAACCAATCTGGCAAATTTCAATGTGCCAACATGGAAAAGGGGAAAGCCTTCATTTGACCCCTGAAGGTGGTTGCAAAAACCCATAAAACCTGAACATGGTAGATGTTGCTGAACACATATTGGGGTGTTCTTTGTCAGTAACACATAACAGAAACTGAGAATCCATGCCTAAAGTACAATGTTGATGAAAAACAAAACAAAAAATGACTACCCAAAAGTCTGGTGGTAGAATTAGTGCATTCAAAGTGTTAAAATACCACCATATGAAATACGCTAGGGTGTCTACTTTAAAAAAAAATATATGGTTTGATTGGGGTAAATTACATTGGCCGGTTTCAAAAATGTCCCAAATAGGACATGGGTGCATGATGACCAGCTGTGAAAATTCCAAGTTGGAAAACTGTATTGCGCACCCTCCAAATAAGGTATTTTTGCCCCCAGAGAACCCAATACACCTATAAATGGGGGTATCACGGTACTCGATATGTTGCTGAACACATATTGTGATGTTCTTTGGCAGTAACCCATACAGTTCTCCGTACATGTATTCTTAAATTGCTATGTGTGTCAAACAAATCACCAATTATTTTTTTTTTTTTTTAATTTGGCATAGATTGGTGGTAAAATGGTTGCATGAAAAGAGTCAACATACCCCAAATTTAATACCTTAGGTTGTCTTCCTTTCAAAAATATATACATGTGAGGGTTATTCAGGGATTCCTGACAAATATCAGTGTTACAATGTAACTTTTGTTAATGTTTTTGGGGAAAAAATGTTTTTTTGTCTATAAGGGCAGAGGTATTAACATAAAAAAAACATGAATCAATTCCAGTTGGAATCCAGTACCAAGTCTGATTTGCAGGCCCGGTCAGCAATGTTTAAAAAAAAACAAAACACCTTGGTCTTTTTTGTTAGAGGTGAATATTTAAGAAAGGAAATTGCATAAGAACCTGTAGTTATTTTTCTAAAAAGGGAAAAAAAATCTGAAGAATCAGTTAGCCCCAAGTCTTCCAAATGTCAATAGTATAAAAGATAAAAAGAAAGATTTTTTTTTTTCTGTTCAAAGAATTGTGTTCAAAACATTATCCATGTAAGGCACCTAGGTTCCACTCTAGAAACATAGAAAGCAATGTCTCGAGCAAAAGATTTATAATAAAAATATTTATTAAATATTTCAGTTATCATTAGACTTTTGCCTGAATCACTACGTTTACAAATAAAAAATAAAAATTTAAATGGCTGAATTTTGGCCATACAATGTTTCAGCTTGTTCGAACTTTGTTAACAAAAGAAAATATTCTAGAAAAGGAAATAAATGAACCAAAGCGATGAGTAATTGGGCAAATCAAACACATAAATAAAATGTATATTTTTTGCTAGAAATATTTTCATGATTGGCCCCAATTTGGATGCATTGTAGTTCATAACTAAATGAATCTCCAAGTCTAGTAATTAGGTCAGGGGTAGTACTTAGAAGCAGGTGTGCTTTTGTGTTTACAGTTGGTGTTTGTATATAATGTTAGCATTTTGATACAGGGCTCTGCTTGTATGTAATGTTTGCATTTGCATGCAGGGGTGTGCTTGGATGTAGTGTTAGTTTTAAATGCGGATGTACATTTGTGTGCAGTATTAGTGTTTGAGTAAAGGGTATGTTTGAGTGTTTGTATATAAATTTGAATCCAGGGTTTTTTGTATGTAATGTTTGTCTTTGCATGTTGTGTTGGTGTTTGATTGCTGGGATGTATGCTCATATACGTGTTTGATTGCTGGGATGGTGTTTGATTGCTGGGATGTATGCATATATGATTGCTCTATGTATGCCACATACACAAACAAATTAACACACATAAAATAATTGACACATGCACACACATTCATATACAAACATAAACCTTGACACACATATATATATATATATATATATATATAAATACCTATATATATATATATATATATATATATACATAGACACACACACACACACACACACACACTCTTTGACAGTCACACATACAAACAGATATACACACTCACTGACATTCACACTTACACACACTAACTGACAAATTCATATACAAATTCCTTAACAGACACACACAATTTTTTTTTTCACTCCACCCAGCCTCCCTACCTTTGGGAGTGCTGGCATGGAGTATATTTCTCTGGGGTCGAGTGGGGTTGCTGGGCTGAATGGCTGGCATGCAGTCCCTGGGGTCCAGTGGGGCTGCGCGACTGGCGTGCAGTCCCTGAGATCCCGTGGGGCTGCAGGGCTGAGCAGCTGGCGTGTGGTCCCTGGGTTCCAGTGGGGCTGCTGGGCTGAGCGGCTGGGGAAGCCAGAGGTCAGAGAAAATAATGTGAAGAGTCAAGGCCAGGAGCCAGGAACAAACTGGAGAACACACGATCTTTATACTCAGAAACCACAAACATACCTGGGTTCAAATCCCCTGTTGCGCACTTCTGGGGTGACCTCGTCTGGCCATCTGAAAGTCATGGTGAGACTGGCGGGCGGTCCCTGGGGTCCAGTGAGGTTGCTGTACTAAGCAGCTGCCGTGCAGTTCATGAGGTCCAGTGGGGCTTCTGGGCTGAGCAGCTGGTGTGCGGTCTCTGGTGTCCAGTGGAGCTGCTGGGTCCCTGGAGTGCGGTCCCTGGGGCTGCTGGGCTAAACGGCTGGTGTGTGGGTGTGTAGTGCAGACGGTGAGGGAGCAATGATCTTCCTGCTCAGCTTCCTCAAAAACTCTTAGTGATGCTGGGGACGGAGTGACATCATATTCGTGCCTCAATTATCAGCAGCTGAAATAATGGTGGAACACAAATTGGGAAACTCTGAATCAGGTAATTTATTTATTTTTATGTATTGGGCTAAACATCTGCATCCCAGTATATAAAAAACATAATTACTGTCGCAGAGTGTGGTCAGGAAGGGGTACAGAAGCAACCACCAAAAATAGGAACCCAATATGCAAAGAAGCCAGAATGCACACAATGTAAAGAGGAAAGTGAATGTATTAAATGTAAGAACACAAATGAATAATGCAAATGCAAAACAGATAGCTCAATGCAAGGGAGGAAGCAGGGCCTCTGGAATCAGTTTAGATTGCAGAGGGATATAATTCACAGGAAGGAAGCTTGATCTGGGTCAAGGTGGGTCTGCACAGGATAGCAGTTTGCTCTGTAACTCTATGAGACTGCACAGAGAAGGATGGTTAGGAAGTAGCTGCAGAATGTACGGTGAGATCGGATGCAGACTACATTTATATCTGTCTCTTTTTCTTTTTTTTTATTAGTAACCAAGTAAAGTTGCACAAGATACACCTCATGCCAACTAATACAAGTTTCTTTGTGTCCAAAAAGATTTATATATCATTGATGTTTGCAATATTGGGGAGGGGAGGGTAATTGCTGATGCCTTGATAATTTTAAGGAAGCATAATGTTTTCTCTGCTGTGCTAAAACTAGTTTTAATTACCATCAATCTAAAAATCATGAGTTATGGCACAATTGGTTAGGTTTTCCTGGGAATGCTACCTGGTTTTGCTGTATAACTGTATGCCGAAGACCTGCACCCTGATCATATATATCTGTTCTCTCTTCCTTCTCATTTGTTGAAAATGTAGCTGAATAATAATGCCTGTGACAACATCTGTGTCCAACATGTTTATTGGTGCTGATATTTTTCACATTTCAGGCCTCTGCTCAGCTGTATGTCCTCTTTCCTTACATTCTTCTAGAGGTAGAAGATTGTGTGGGAGACGTAGACTACCTTTGCTCAAATTTGTAATGTAAAAAAAAAAGTCAGTTTAAGCATACTTGACTGTTGTAAGCGAAAGTCAACTTTTTCTCATTACATACTCTACAAATTGAAAGTAGAAATCATGGTCATATTTTTTCCTAGTAAAAAGCACAGCATAGAAATAACTACAAGTTATAATTACATTTTTCTGAGCAGAAATCTCTTATATTATTTTTGTTCAAAGCTTGATTTTTGCTACAAGATGTATAAAATGTTATGATATTTTGACATTATCCTTGCTGCTCAGTTGTAAATCTAGCCACAACTCACATTTTAATTATGAAATATGTTCTACTCACCTCACCTGTTATTGTGAGATCTATACCTTAAAGTATTGGCTTAGGTTCCCTACACAGCAGCTAGAGGTGAAACTCTGATTAGAATATAGTACCATATACATAGTATGTATTACACATGGCAAATATCTGTCACCACGTATATATCCCTGTGATCTTGATCACTAGTGGTCATTTCCATTACAACTGAGCTCAGCTGAATTTGTAACAAGCCATCAAGAAAAAGTAAATTCAAATCATAATGTTAATGTATCATCAATGATACCATGTGACATTGATGTAAAATTTAACCTGGTTTCAGATTTTGGAAGCAAAATATTGCAATGTTCTAATGATCCTATCTTTTCAGCTCCTAGAAGATGACAGGTTGATCAAGCAGCTCTCTGGCATAAAAGTGAAGTGATGTTTTAGTTTGACCTCTTATGAATAAGTTTGAGTCAAGTACAGAGAATTGGATGGAAGCCACATATTATACAATGTAATATTAATATTCATTTTAGAGTGACCTTAATCTAAACTAAGTTTTGGAAATGCTTAAAGGAATGCTTAAATGAATGCGTAAAGGAACACTATAGTGTTAGGATTATAAACATGTATTATTAACACTATAGTGTTGGAATATCTTTAGGTTCCCTGCCCTCCTGCTCCACCCTCCTCCCCCTTCCTTACACTGCTGATGCTTCAGGGAAGTGCTCTAGACACCAGAACCACTACACACCTTTTTAATATCCTCAAGGAATGCTCAAGTATTGTTTGCACCTTTGTGTTGATTTTGTGAATTTTGTGAATTGTAGCCTTCACTACATCATGTAAAATACAGACGCTGTTATGCTTCTGCTTGCTTGTGGTAAAAGCAGTTGCAGTGTCAATAGTAATGGCAGCAGAAATGATTGTGGAGTTAGTGGCCTGCTTTAGATAGTTCTCACGTGATATGTGAAGAAAATCATCATTTAGTGACTGCCCAATCATCTCTGTTTCCATCAATCATCTTTTGTCTTTTGGCACCACCGATGGAACTCCAAAACATGAAACAAAAAATAGCTTGTTTATTCCTCATTTAGTTTGTTTTGTGGTTTGGTCATATGACAATTCAGAGGTATGGGATTCAGATTAGTCAAAATTTGGACAATTTACAATTAATTTAAAACCAAACATAAGTTTATTAACTGCCATCATTTCGTTTTACAGTCAATTATCCATGGCAGCATAAAAAAAATCAGATAAGCACATTATTTACAACCAATATGATAGAAAATAAAGACTACATTTTTAGAAGAACCTCAAGTTATGCTGTCTGTCACCAAATTTCAAAACCCCGATCATTGATGTTGGGCAAAGGAAGGGAAACTGTATGTTGAAATTCATAAAAGAACATTACAATACATAAATTGCAAAGAGTTTCAAAGTGGTACAAATATGTATTGAGCAAGAAGGGCAGAATTAACAATATTCTGTCCAAACCAAGCCTTAAGTTCTGTTTGAATGTCAAGACTCTCCAAATACTGAACAGAGATGCATGTGAAACAGAACCACAGGAGACAGTTGTTGAATTAACTCCATTTGAGGTTTAAAATTCCTGTAAACTTCCTTTTTGATTCTTAACTTTTTTTCTTGCTCTTTACATCTGTCATTAATTGAGTTACATTCTGTCTATTCCAAATCTTAAGATGAAAGAGCAGCAGAGGGACCAGCAACAGGCAGAAGGTATTCCATCAAAAAACATTTTACCTTCTCCACCGTTAGTATCACTTCCTGAGCACTACATTGATTTATTTCTTATTTTTCTTAGAAATAGGTGATAGATGCCTTTTAAAGCTACATTGTTTTATTTCTTTTGGATAAACCTGTGCTTCTGCCCACACTAATATTGATTTCACATGTAGTAAAACTTCATTGTACTTTTAGGAACTGTAACTAGTACGGCAGCACATATTGCTCATATACTGGCATCTGAAAAGCTTTCATTCAAAAAATGTCATTAATAAAATTGAGACGCTGTACAAGCAATAGGGAATGAATATCATTGGTAAGAAAACTCTATATTGAGTCACGTAATCATGTTTAGAAGCCAATAAAATTCCACTAACATCAGTATGTGAAAAGATTGAGAATGAAACTGTAGTGAAAATATTTATCAGTCAATAGGCTCTTCACAAGGAGAGAGGCTGAACACCTACTGTAGGATGCAGAATATAATGCAAATAGTATATAATCCAAAAAAATGAGGCAATAAAGCCTTTATTAGGCTACCTGATCCTAAGGCCAGAAGGATAGAAAAAAAACAATATAACACACATAACTATTATATGCCACATCCTGAGGGCTGTAAGGAGAGGAGCAATCCAATTGCATAATCTGCCTTGATAAGCAAGGTAAATTGTAATATATAATATTTGACGAGAACCTACTGAAGTCTTCTGTGATCTCAACCATTCTAATGCTTCTCCTAGAAAGCAATGGAGATATGCATGGCCAAACCCTGCCTTCCTCCAATCAAATGTTGTTGTTATAAGCGGCATTTGGTTGCAGGTCTGAGCTTAGCTCGACTATGGAGGAGGAAGGGCCACAAGTGGCTGTCTGGAAGCCAATAAAAGAGTATTTAAGCCTGCAATGTAAACATTGCACTTTCTACAAATGTCTTAAAATTACTGGGCCACTGCACCAATGCCACTTCACTGAGATTAAATGGTCTGGTTGACTTTAGTGATACTTTGATACATTCTTGTTTTACAAAGTGTAATCAATATTGGAGTACTGTAGTGGTGAGCTCAACACAATATAATTATATAGTATAACTGAATCTACATATCTGTTTGCTGCGATAGGTAAATACAAGTTGCCCTGTAAAGTTTAAATCTGAATTTTGTGAGTGTGTATGCTGTTCTTTAGTCATATATATATATATATATATTGGTCTTAACCACTGCGTCACTACTTAGAAATGCATGATCCAGGTGTTTCTCTTTTTCTGTTTAGCTTGAAATATAAATATAATTGATATATATTGTGACAGACCCTCCATCAATCGATGCCCCTAGTGCTTACCAAGGACCATCAGCACCGCACCAGATACCATAAGCACTGCAGATCCCAAGAACCGCCGCAGCTTGGTTGGGGTCTCGCCGTCTTCTACCCACCCTGGACCTATGACAAGTCTCCAGGTTCCAGTGGGTGAACCTCTCCTCCAAGAGAGAGTAGCAGTAACAAGCTCTTAAAAGAGCTTAGTGATTATAGCCAGGGAGTATACAGAGTATAGCAATCCCCAGTGTAGATGCAGCCTTTTCCCTCACACGAGACGAGGCTCTATGTTGAGAGTAAAACAGGAACTTGGCAGATCTGAGGGTTTATTGTCTTTTATACAGTTTTCCTTGCAAGGTTACCACCTAGGTGGACCTTGTGGAGCACAGAACACAAAGTCACAAAACCAATCAAAACAGTATTGTACAGTTAGACTTTCCCAGATAATGTACACAAACCCTCCCCTCTGCCTGTGATACAATTAACAAAGACAATGGACTGACTCAATTAACTTTAGCAGAAAAAAAAACATACATTTTTACAAACCCCAAAAAGTACCCCATAGTACAACATATTCCCACAAAAGCCACATCCCCTGATAGCCCTGATCTGAGTGAACAACATGTCAAAAAATCACCCAGATTGGTTCAGGGGTTCAGGAATTTCCTGGAAGTCTTATGTTTGCCCCACCATGCACATGGTCACATGCCCAAAACAGTTCCATACGCTTGACGGCAAAACACTGCTGGACAATTTAGGATGGCCGCTGCCACATGTTTAAATCTGTTCTAGTTAAAAGTCCAAGGGGCAGAAACAGTACTTTTGAACATGGGTTATCACAGGGCCCATAGTCCCAGGGTAGGAGGCTGGCAAACAGGCCCCTCCAAAACCCAGTGGCGAGGTTATTTTCGCCACATATACATTTAATATAAAAAAAAGTAGCTGTGTTGAAGCTTTTCCCTAATTATTCAGGATGTGAAACAGAATAAGTGCATTGACAATTAAGAATGGATTTTTTTTTATCATGTTTGTACTTCATTATCTTCAGTTTTCAGAATATAAATTTGTGGACAGTTTGCCATGCAAATATCCAATTTGTTATCTGATTGGCCATTAAATGATCAGTTATGTTTTGTTCATTGTGATGTGCTATTTTAAACAAGCCACTTTAAAGGTTAAACTTCATCTCACTAATTGGCATGCCCAATTATACCTCCTTTCTCATAGAATGGATGCAATACATTAAAAATAGTAGAAGAGAAATGCTGTCATCACTGATTTATATATTACTACATAGATTATTATAGCTCATTATGTGTGATAACTTTAATGTGTTTTAATGCTGTTTTTACATTTATATTTTTCAGTTTTTTTATGTGCATGAGTATAATTAAACATTTGTACTAAACTATATGATTCTTGATGTTCTGTTGGACTTTGTGTGTCTCTTGCTGTCTGCACCCTGATTGTTGGGGATAAGGTAAGTATATATGTGTGTAAGCACAAAGTTACATATTTAATAATGCACCCTAATAGTAAATATTACAGAATCTTCTCGGACCTTTGTATGGATGCACCAGGCACTGTTCTGCCACAACACATCAACTACAGAAAGACTGATTTTATGGCTTGCAGAGGACCTGTGGAGTCAGCAGATTAGAGGGTCTTTATTGTGAACTTGAACAGTCTCTCAGGCCTTGACTTCAGATAATATTTCAAAATACTTTTTTTTCTACAAAAAGTTAAAAGATGAACTGCCACACACAAAGGCAGAGTTTACTTGGGCAGGCAACTGCAGCCACACACTGTGTGAACAACTGATGGAAGAAGCTTGACGCTTCCAAATACAAGCAGTAGCATAAATGCACACAGCAAAGCAAAATCTCTTACTAAGAATTAAAAAAAGAATTGAAAAAAAATCACAAATCAGTGGAAATTCTAAACTAAATGAAAGTGGACTGACACAGACTTGTTAGGGGAGATGGGTGGTTGGCTTTTAAGGGGTGCCCTTGAAGGCACAGTACTTATAGCTTGTAGCTTTTAGCTTTCATCTCTGAGTTTTGTATTCTACCATGCTTGTTTTGATATTTACCCCTTCCTTACTGGATAGTTGTTTGTGGGCTATTATTGTACATGCTATATGATGTTTAGCGTATATCTCCCTTATTCCTTGGGAGACAGTCTTTCACTTTCTTTAGCACAATCGAAAGTCACACTACTCTCTGGGTTTTTATGTTTCCTTTTGCTTTATTTTTACTTGGAGCATTACAGCCTCTTGATTCAGCTAATCAGTAGGTGAGACTATTACACATATTTTCCCTTTTCTCTATGTATACTTTATTTGGACCAAGTAGTATTTTTGGACTTGTTTTTAGGACACATATATTTTATAGTGATTATCACACTGCCGAGTCCCGTACATACAGGGACTAATCTTTTACTAGACCTTAATAAAAGTTAAGTTATTACATGGGTTTCTCTTATTTAATTTTTTTTTATATATATATTTTCAGATACAGCAGCAGTTGACTAGTGAGATGACCACAATACACTGGCCTATAACTTTTTGCCTTGTGTATGCTGAAGATGCAGGTGAATTTCCATTGGTGTCAGTGGTCACTACATTAGTATGTACACTAGTACTTGGTTGATTAAGGCTAAAGGAATGTTAATGGTGCTGGTACTAGTGATATTGATTGTGGTGGTTGTAGTAGTGGTGATGATAACAATGGCAGTGGGTTAGCTACGTGTGTCACTGGCAGCCAGAGGCGGACTGGCCTGGGTGTCAGCTTGCCCAATGGCAAGTGGGCCCTGTGGGCGATTGATAAAGTAGGCCCCCTTAAACAACAGTGTTAAAAAAAATGGCCTTCTTTAACGCAGCAGTAGGGTAAAAGGGGCAGCTGCATAAGCCCGCAACAATCTCAAATTTATTGAGCAAATTTGTTTTTTATTACACTATACAACGATCGGCATCAACGCATAGTGTTGGACTTGCTTCTTCCCTGCCCTGCACCTGTAACATAACCGTGACATCTCACATGAAGACAGAGCCATGTTTGGGTCACACCACGATGGAGCACAGTCTCCTCCTAATCAGTGCAGCCGGTGCATGCCAGTCACAAGCTGTGGCAAAGTTTACCTTTGAAAGGCGGGTACTTGTGGAGGTCTCTCTCACTTCAGCTGTCCCCACAAGCCACAGCTCAGCCTAAAAATGTGCAGCCACATATACAGTGCCCACATCCAGGTATACAGGGGCACCAGCCATATAAATGTAATATTGTTAGACAAATCATCATACAGTGTCCACCACCCCCAGCCATATATTTGTATTATTATTTTATAAATCATTACACAGCATCTCCCCCAGCCTCCCCCCAATCCAGGTATACAGAAACCCAGCCATATAAATGTATTATTGTTATACAAATCATCATACAGTGCCCCCAGGCTGTATACCTGAATGTGATGATTTATTTAATAATAATAATAATAAATAATAAAATTATATTGCTTATTATTAAATTATATCAATAAAGGCTCAACCCGGCCATATAATTAGGTATCCACCCCCCCAGCCATATATTTGTATTATTATTTTATAAATCATTACACAGCATCTCCCCCAGCCTCCTCCCCCCCCTCCCCCCAATCCAGGTATACAGAAACCCAGCCATATAAATGTATTATTGTTATACAAATCATCATACAGTGCCCCCAGGCTGTATACCTGGATGGTGGGTGCTGTATGATGATTTATATAATAATAATAATAAACTTACATGGCTGGGGAGGGGGGGGGCTGGATACCTGGATGGTGGGTGCTGTATGAAGTTTTGTACAATAATACAATTATATGCACCCCTGCATACCTTGAATGTATGGTGATTTGTATGATAATAATATACATTGCTGTATGACGATTTGCATAATAATAATAAAAAAATGTGAAACAGAATTATCATCAGATTTACCAACACCAGATATTGGGGACACAACTAAGATACTCTGCTTTAGTTTGTCACTAAAGAGATGCCCCAATGGCCCCCACCAAGTATATTCTACTCCATGCTCTTTTAGTTGCTTCTTGAGGGTTATTCAAGAAGATATAATGCCTGAACGTCAACTATTAGCCAGCCAAAATCTACTTCCTTATAACAAAATACTGAAATTGGATTTAAGTTCTAATAATACAAATAATAAAATGCAATACATCACTATATAAAGATTGGAAATAACAATATTTAAACTTGAAATATTACTAAAAACTAGAATTTGACACCAAACAATAGGCTATCATTTTTGTTTTATTGTTATACATAACAGTAAAATATTATATGCAGTGACACATTTATTTTTCATATTGCAAATAGAGACAGATGGGTGACCAGAAGCTTAGGCAGAGTTTAGGTCAAAGGCTTGCCCATAGCAATGTGTTGATTATGTTTCTGTGCAATTTCCATGGCTTGGGGCAGCTTCTGTTAAAGAGAGAAGTGTAGTGATATGATGTTAACCCATTTGTTGTTTTTTTTTATTTTTTTTGTCATTGTTGTCCTAGTTTTGAAGCTTTAAAGTTCCCACTTAGTCATTGTGGGTCATTGTGGACCAATAAGTCTCTGAGGTTTTTATTCCATTTGTAACAAATCATAGATTTCTGTTGCACACCTTGACGTAAAGTGACATCCTTCTTCAAGATATTGCAATTCCTATCAATTGATGTCTTAAAGACTGAGTTGGCTGTGTGGAATTTCATGGGGAATATCATTCTACATAGAAACATAGAAACATAGAATGTGACGGCAGATAAGAACCATTCGGCCCATCTAGTCTGCCCAATTTTCTAAAAACTTTCATTAGTCCCTAGCCTTATCTTATAGTTAGGATAGCCTTATGCCTATCCCATGCATGCTTAAACTCCTTTACTGTGTTAACCTCTACCACTTCAGCTGGAAGGCTATTCCATGCATCCACTACCCTCTCAGTAAAGTAATACTTCCTGATATTATTTTTTAAACCTTTGTCCCTCTAATTTAAGACTATGTCCTCTTGTTGTGGTAGTTTTTCTTCTTTTAAATATATAGTCTCCTCCTTTACTGTGTTGATTCCCTTTATATATTTAAATGTTTCTATCATATCCCCCCTGTCTCGTCTTTCCTCCAAGCTATACATGTTAAGATCCTTAACCTTTCCTGGTAAGTTTTATCCCGCAATCCATGAACCAGTTTAGTAGCCCTTCTCTGAACCCTCTCTAAGGTATCAATATCCTTCTGAAGATACGGTCTCCAGTACTGTGTACAATACTCCAAGTGAGGTCTCACCAGTGTTCTGTACAATGGCATGAGCACTTCCCTCTTTCTACTGCTAATACCTCTCCCTATACAACCAAGCATTCTGCTAGCATTTCCTGCTGCTCTATTACATTGTCTGCCTACCTTTAAGTCATCAGAAATAATCACCCCTAAATCCCTTTCCTCATATGTTGAGGTTAGAACTCTATCAAATATTCTGTACTCTGCCCTTGGGTTTTTACGTCCAAGATGCATTATCTTGCACTTATCCACATCAACTTCTAGATGAAGCTTTATTCATCCTTATATTCTCCCTGGTTTCCTGATGCTTCTTTTTAGCCTCATTGAAAGCCTGATTGAGTACATTATTTTTGATGCACAGCCTAAAGATTCTGACACATGGAAAAATATTTATGCACCGTCACTTTAAGATTCTTAATCTCATTCACTTTATTAGTGTCACTTTAAGAAGATTTTGGACTCCATTCACCTTACTTGATTTAAACTGATGTTTTTTGACAGTGGGTTCTATATGTATGTAAGGGAAAAATATCCATATTATATGCAGGATGTGCGTTTAATTTAATTTTTGCATCTAGAATAGTGGCTTATAGACTTTTACGAAATAACAGGATTCTGTTGAGACCTTATTTGGTTTATTTTGTGTCCGTATAGAGGTTTAGCCATAAGTAGACGGGAAGTGCTGATTCGCACAGTGGGATCAGCATACTCCGGTTGCTAAGGAGACACGTTCCGACTCACGTGTTACATCTGTGGAGCCTCCGAAGTACTCCACATGCCATCAGCAGTCCTATGGGCGACCAATAGCCGAACGCTATCGGCGTGTGCCCGGGCAACGGAGTGACACCGGATATACTTTGTATATATATATATATAGTTAATACCATATTAAACAAAAAATCCGCACACCAGTCTTTATTTTCCCACAGAAATCACAAATTTGCAGTGATGTTACTACCGCAAAGGATTCTGGGTGGGCATATGCAAATTAGTTTAACAGAGAATCAAAGTTTTGCTTCATTCCATTTTAAACATGGTTTCCTTTGAGTCTGTGTTTGCTGTACACAACAGCTTTGAAACACAACTTAGGAAAAGATGCAAAGCCAGTGAACCACTCATCGACAGCTGTATCATTGTTAATGAAAATCATTAGCATGAGGTTTGTTACTGGTTGGCTATTGAGGCTTGGTAGGGCTTGGGAAGCAAAAACCAAATTATATGTATTTATAATTTCATTCTAAGCATATTTTGATATTAATATATATATATATATATATATATGTAGTTTTTTTAGAGCCAGGCTTGGGCCTTACCAGGGAACCTGTATTGACGAATACACATCAAAGAAATATAAGCAACACAAATCAACATTTACCCGAAACAGACCAGCCAGGCGAGGCCAGAAGGGGAAGACGTACCGGCATCAGAGGGAGACCTCCTCGCAGGTAATTGAAAACCCTATCATTAATTTATCAAGCAAAATATTAACAATACCTGAAACCACATTGTTATCAAAGGGACTGTCATTTATTCCCACCACTGATATTAATGACTTTGAATGGGAAGTTGATCAATATAGATTCCAACGTAAACCAAGACTGGCTGACTTCTTTAAATCTCACCCAGAGAATGTTGTAAATGAACAGCAAGAAACTATGAAATGATATAGTTAATTTGATCCACCGAGTAATAACGCTTCCCTGAAGGTCTTCTCACAGAGCCTAAGATCTGAAAGCAGACATTACCTCAATAAGACCAAAAAAGGTGCCAATATTTCCAAAATTGAAAGGGATGCCCTTAACAACTTGGCTGCAGATACTACCATCACTATTCGTCCAGCGGACAAAGGTGGGGCTATTGTCTTGATGCAATATCAAGACTATAGAAATTAGATTCTAAGACAACTTTCAGATGATAAAGTGTACAAATGCTCTGAAATAGATCCAACCGTGGAATGTAGGAAAACTATTTTTGCAACACTACAGAGAGAGGTAGAAAACCACTATATAACACAACAAGAATTTGAGTACTTACATGAAACTCACCCCAGGTGCCCGATGTTGTACACTACCAAAAGTGCATAAGGACCCCATTCACCCCCCGAGACGACCTATAGTCTCAGCAATTGGTGGTTTATTGGAGCCCATCGGTAAATGGCTGGACAAGATATTTAAAACTCCAGTGTTATCTTTGCCTACTTGTGTCAAAGACAGTGCAGCTGTTATTGAACGTCTTAACAATATCCCAGTACCGGCAGAGGGGATTTTACTAGCAATGATTGATGTGTCTAGCTTATACACAATTATCCCACACAATGATGGTATACTAGCAATCAAGGAAGTTCTACCGAATTTTACTGAGTGGGTGAATCCCCCTCTGGAGTATACACTGGAACGTTTGAAGCTATGCCTCACTTTGAACTATTTTAGATTTGAAACAAAATTCTATATACAACAGACAGGAACTTCAATGGGGGCTCCTATGGCCCCCATGTATGCAAATGCATACATGTTTGTTTTTGAGCAACAACAGATCCTTGGGCCTTATGGAGAACATATATTACAATACCTCCGCTTTATAGATGACGTCCTTCTTCTATGGACTGGTGGAGAGGAAAGGTTTGTTAACATGATGCACACATTGAATTCACTTCCTACACCTGTGAGATTCACTTACCAGTCGAGTATGACTAATATCAATTTCCTGGATCTTCAAATTTTCATCTCAGGCAATCGCTTGGGCTATACTCTGTTTTCTAAATCAACGGATAGGAACACTATTCTGCATTCTACAAGTTTCCATCCTAGAAAACTAAAAGAGTCACTGCCTATCTCCCAATTCATAAGAGTATTGCGCAATAACTCAGATGACAGCCGGGCGAAGATACAGATTCAGGACATGTTCCAAAAATTCCAACAAAGAGGATATTCAAAAAAAGTTTTGAATGTGGCATACACAAAGGCAATAGAATCAATTGCAGAAAACAGGATTCATCAAGACATCGGTGATCGATTCATCTTCCCTCAAGCATTTCATCCAAAGTCCCAAAAACTCAGAGATACCATTAAAAAAAATTGGCACGTTCTTTACAATGACTCATCACTGCCTCCTGTATTTAAAAAACATCCCATTATGAGTTACAGAAAAGGGAAAAATTTGAGAGACTATTTGATGCATGCAGATATAGTGTCCACAACACAGTCATTACAGAAAGTGACAACAGCAGGATGTTTTCGCTGTTTGAACTGTCTGGCGTGCAATTCTATGATACCGGGTAAAACCTTCCGTCACCCAAAATCTGGAAAGGTGTACACAATTAAACACCGGATTATGTGCAGGACCACACATGTTGTGTATAGAATTATATGCCCCTGTGGTCTCACTTATGTGGGCAAGACATCTAATTACCTAAGGGAACGTATGCGGGGTCACAGGTTTACTATACGGTCAGCACTACTGAGCGGCACTGCAAGCACTCCAGTCGCCCGGCATTTCACTTCGCTTTATGGGAATAGATCACATACCCATCTCACCCAGAGGAGGAGATTGTGATAACCTGTTAGTCAGAAGAGAGGCTTTCTGGATATACACGTTGGAAACATTATCACCATCTGGTTTAAATGAGAACTCATTATATTGTTTTTTACCTAGAAGATAATATATGATTGAGCTATGTTTTACAGAATGCATTAATATAGTACAGTTATTTGCCATAACTCCATGATGGAAGTAGTCCATATCGCATATTGCTTCAAAATTACACTGACAATATTTTGCTATATAACTGAGTTAATATTTAGCTAATGACGATATGTACTATGTATCTATGTTCCCTTGGTTAGGGTTGAAACATTTGTATATACTTTATTTTTATAGTTATTTATCTTTTATTACTCTCTGACTTATCTACACGAGAGTATGTTTCACATACCAGGTACACATAGGGTTAACCTTAATTTATTATGTAATTTAAACATGTTTACGTCATTAATTACATCACTCTGATCCGTTGTTACATTGTCACCTGTTCACCTCCAAATAGGATCAATGCATTTTTTGTATATAAGGTATCCATCTCACATACACAATTGTCTTGAAAAAAGTCTTTTACAGACTGAAACGTCGACTGGAACGTTGTGTAAATTTGTAATTGCTCAATAAAGCAACAGATGAAATTTACCTTGAAAGTCTCCTGAGTGTTCTCTACTGGTATTTATATATATATATATATATATATATACACACACACACACAATTATAATATATATTATTAGTTATATATTGTGGACCTGCCTAACAACCCAGGAAGAAATCCCAGAGAATATAATTTGCAAGCCCTATGTTTGACCTTGTAATTTCCCAAAATCCCATAAACCCTTACATGGGGTACTGTTTTATTTGTGAGACATCACTGAACACAAATATGAGTGTTTTAGAGCAGTAAAATGTATAATAATGATGATATCATCAGTGAAAGTGTGATTTGAGTGTGAAATATGAACATTATATGTGGCCAGGGTGTCTTTCCATTTGTAGTCGGGGACAATAAGCAGAGTTATAGTAGTGGTGGTAAGTTGGTTGTGTCATGCCGAAACCAACGTTTGGGTAGGCCTGTAAAAGAGGCAAAAAGTTAACCGTTTAATCCTTAATACGTGTTGACATTACATAACCAGTACTTTAAATGCCTGCCTCAGTTCCCTCTCTGTTTGAGGGATATCTGGTGTTTGCAGATAAATCCAATGTCCCAATTTATGATGTGCACTGGGATGTTTACTAAAGGCTGCAGAAGCAGTGCTTATTCTAAAAGAATGAACTGAATATTTTGAAAGGTCGTATCAGAGTTTTCTGAATTGTGTCCTGGCATACAGGATGAAATTGATGCAGTGAGTGGTTACCGTGTAACCTCAAAATAGAGCTTATGCCTGTGTCTTCTTGTGAGTGTCAGACAATTGGTCTAGTATGTTAACCTGGCACCATTTATTGTTGACAGTATGTAGGTATCTGACTACCGGTGGATATGAGATAAGTTTAAGTGTTTGTAAGCTAATTTAAGGTTGAGGTGGCAAAAGGATGTGAATGTCACCATGGTATCAATAGAGTACAGATTGACAATTTGATATTCTGAAGTGAACTTATTAAAATGGCCAGAGTTCTGGTATATAAATGGTTGTTATTAGCAGAGAGAGCCACGTGTGTCAGCAATCTACAATGACCATGAGATGAGCTAATCCAGAATGAGATCCTGGAATGTAGGAGTTTTAGTATGTGGTTAAGCAGCCGTGGAATATTTTGCGGAAAACCTGAAACGGGATTGAGACAAGGCTTCAGCTGCTATGTTGTGATAGGCTGGTATGTGTATGCAGACAAGGTAAATTTGTTGTGTTGCTGCCAGCCAAGTAACTTTGCATACTGCTGTGTTTGAGTAGTAATTGACAGACTTCCTCCCCCAAAGAGAACCCCAGGAGCGTGCAGTGGATGTGATGGAGTATACTACAACAAGAGCTGAACGTTACTAAAAGATTCGGCTTCATGTCTCTGCGGGCCATGTGTCACCGAACCAGTTCTCCTTGATAATGGCTGCAAACCCAGTCTCAAATAACAGGGGAGTCATTTGTCAGTGGGGGAATGTTCATGCCTTACCCATTACGGTGGAGTAGCACGTTAGCCACATGAACAAGTCTGCTCAAACAAGTGTTGTCATGGTGCTACTGTTAGTATGAAACCTGGAGTAGGCTGAGAAGTCAGGAAATAAGGGGTTACCTTGTGGTATAATGCACATGGCAAAGTACAGAGAACCAAGGAGAGACTGGAGATACAAACGGGAACAGGCACCTTTGCCAATGAATAACTCTATCTTTCCTGTTACGCTGGACACACGGAGGGCAGGGCTGTATTGACAATAAGTCAAGATGTACACCTAATAATATAACAGATATAGGCCTATCTTATACCCAGGATGAAATAGGTGCAGTGGAATAACCAGGATAAAACAGGGCCATGGGCCTTCAACAGTCAGAAATGTGTCATGATAATGTATCGTTATATAACAGTCACAGACAGTCAATAGCAGCCATGAGAGGATCACCACAAATACATTGAATAATTTAGGGCTGCTATAGACCCCAGGCATGAGACGGGTGGCAAATAAAATGCCCCAACCACTTAATACCATGCAAATGCCACAGGGATGTCCACTGTGGCATGTTGCAGGGAACTAATTTGAAGGGAATTAGTGATATCAGGCAAGGTGTAGTAAGGAATAAGGAATAGATAGTTATCTACAAGGTCTTGGGAGGCAATCTGCGATGTCTTTGATGTCTTTGCCTACCAATATGTACTTCCTGATGACGGGAGAAATAAATGTGTCGATGAAATAACGTGAGTAGAAGGAGTGTGTGCTGGACTGTAACTTCTGATGTCACCCATAGTGGATAAAAGTAAGGGGTACACAGTGGGATACTCCGTGTGAGGGCTAGGAACTCTAATTCTCCAGACTACCATAGAACATAATTATGATGAAAGGATGGATGCCATCATAACATGCATCTCTGCCATGTTGTCTGTGATACTTGCACGGGCATCATGAGTCTGTACAGCTCGGTTTCAGTGCTATATCTGGGAACAGTAAGTCTTTAAGCATGAGTTCGGCAGCAATTAGGAATGGTCCAAGATAACAAGGAACTGTGTTAGTGGTATCCTGACATTGACCAGAGTACAATAGACTAGCTGTGGTGGAGGGTCTGGCAGGGCACTTGGCAATAAATAAACAATGAGTAAATGTAATGGGCATGTCGATGAGAGTGTAGCTCTGTATCAACTGGCAGCCTGCTAAGTGCCAGACGGCGAAGAGTTTAGCTATACAAGGGGAAGGTGAGGTCTTGCTAAATTCCAAGTGGCTCAGATAGGCTCTAGCTGTGATTTTGGCTGAGGAACTAAGGCCACCAAAAGAAGTGACGTGAATTTTGGAATGTATGTACCTTGAATAACTAGTGAGGTTGAGCTTGAGAAAGATTATCGTAGAGAGGAACCTAGAGGCACAATGGGAATATGTCCAGGAGGGTGTAAGTGCTAATTGAGATAACGTACCTGTGTTGTGGTTAACAATTAATACGTCAACAACAGGTTGATAAGTAAGAATGGTGGGAATCTTGAAAAATAAGGGAACTTATGTATAATTAGTACATGCCTAGTAAGGAAAAGAGATACCTGATTGAACTGAATCTAGCTATGAGTTCCCACTGTGCGTAATTAAATGCCAAAACATGTATATCACATCTCTAGCTTACTAGTGTGAAGTGAATTATGAGATCTAGTATGCACCTTAGATGAAGGTAAAACAGACAGATCGAAGAGGCCTGAATACGTATAATTGTGTAATGAGGGGTTCTGGGTTCTTGTGAGTGTGCCAAGAGAGGGGCCATATAGGGAGGACTTCGGTGGGCCTAGCGAGGCAGTGTGTAAAAGTAGAATGTGATATGAAAGGGTTGTTGTTTCCCCTCATAAGCAGGAAAATGTTGTATGCAAATTCCCAAATGGGGGGCCGAAATTGGATCGTAGTGGTTTGCCCAAGGATGGCCGTTTGTAACCTTTTGGTGTAAAGGCCTAATGACGGCCATGTGTAGAGGTATCATAGCAAAAGGCTGAGAGTGCCCAATATAAGTCCTGAGCTGCAAAATTGAAAAAATAGGGCTGTGTGGGGGGTACAGATGTATGGAACGAACAAACGTGAAATAAACATATCAAGGTTGTAAGTATCGTGTAGAGGTCAAGAATGATGCCTTTGTTGTTTGGACAGAATGTAGTGGTAGGGAGAATGGTCATGAATATCAGGGTGGCAACGTTGTATGTAGTGGAGCGCCATCTGAGCCTGTGATCAAAGGAAAATGAGGTAAATAACCAACATGATAGATTATTAAATGTATATAGAAAAGACAGGGAAGGCAAGAAAGGGGGAGGGGTGGCCCTGTATGTGAAGGATAGCATAAAATCTAGCGTAATAAAAGTTAGTGTGGCGAATATAGAGTCCGTTTGGGTTACGTTAGAATTTGGTAATCACACAGTAACTCGTGTAGGTGTGATTTATAGGCCACCAGGACAAATTGAAGAGTTAGATAATCTACCAGTTGAGGAAATAGCTAAAATGACAATGAAGGGGGAAGTTATCTTGATGGGTGACTTTAATTTTCCTGATGTGAATTGGAAAACAAAAATAGTTGCTTGTGCCAGGAGCACACATATTCTAAACTCCCTACTGGGATTGTCTCTAAAACAAGTCATTGTGGAGCCAACTCGTAAAGAGGCCATACTAGATTTAGTGTTAACAAATGGAGATTTGGTATCAGATATTACTGTAGGTGAAAGTTTAGGATCTAGTGATCATCAGTCAGTGTGGTTTAATATAAGAACAGTGACTGAGTCACACCACACAAAAACAAAAGTTTTAGACTTTAGAAAAACAGACTTTTCTAAAATTAGAATATGTGTAGAGGAGTCATTATCAGCCTGGAGCAATTTATATGAAGTCGAAGAGAAATGGGATGATTTAAAAGTTGCACTACTGAAGTCAACAGAAAATTGCATTAGGCTTGTCAGTAAAAGCAAAAAGTTCAAGAAACCACTGTGGTGCTCCGCAGATGTGGCCAAAATAGTTAAAAACAAAAAGTTAGCATTTAGTATTTATAAAAAAAAACAGAGTGAGGAAGACAAAATGATCTATAAGATTAGGCAGAAAGAGGCTAAGCAAGTTATAAGAGGTTCCAATTCACACACACAAGAGAAAATAGCACAGTCAGTAAAAAAGGGGGACACGTTTTTTTTTAGATACATAAATGACAAAAGAAAAGTAAAACAAGGATTAGTTAGATTAAAAACAAAAGAAGGAAGGTATGTAGAAGAGGATAAAGGTCTATCTGACTGCCTCAATTAATATTTTTGTTCTGTATTTACAGATGAAAATGAAGGAAAGGGACCTCAGTTGAGAAAAAGGATAAATGAGTCATTTATTACACGTGAGTTTACAGAGGAAGAGGTTCTATTTCAACTGTCAAAAGTAAAGACAAATAAGTCAATGGGACCTGATGGAATACACCCAAAGCTATTAAAAGAGCTTAGTGGTGTACTAGCAAAACCATTAACAGATTTATTTAACCAATCATTGTTAACAGGAGTAGTCCCAGAAGATTGGAAGTTAGCAAATGTTGTGCCCATTCACAAGAAAGGTAATAGGGAGGAGTCGGGCAACTATAGGCCAGTAAGCCTTACTTCAGTAGTGGGGAAAGTGATGGAAACCATGTTAAAGGATAGGATTGTTAAACATCTAAAAACACATGGATTTCAAGATCAGAGACAACATGGGTTTACTTCAGGGAGATCATGCCAAACTAATCTTATTGATTTTTTTTGATTGGGTAACTAAAATTATAGATCAGGGTGGTGCAGTAGACATTGCTTACCTAGATTTCAGTAAGGCTTTTGACACTGTTGCACATAGAAGGCTTATCAATAAACTGCAATCTTTAAGTTTGGATTCCAATATTGTTGAATGGTTAAGGCAGTGGCTGAGTGACAGGCAACAGAGGGTTGTAGTTAATGGAATATATTCGAAGCTTGGACTTGTCACCAGTGGGGTACCTCAGGGATCTGTACTTGGACCCATTCTCTTTAATATTTTTATTAGTGATATTGCAGAAGGTCTTGATGGTAAGGTATGTCTTTTTGCTGATGATACTAAGATATGTAACAGGGTTAATGTTCCAGGAGGGATAAGCCAAATGGCAAATGATTTAGGTAAACTAGAAAAATGGTCAGAATTGTGGCAACTGACATTTAATGTGGATAAGTGGTAAGATAATTCATCTTGGACGTAAAATCCAAGGGCAGAGTACAGAATATTTGATACAGTACTAACCTCAACATCTGAGGAAAGGGATTTAGGGGTGATTATTTATGATGACTTAAAGGTAGGCAGACAATGTAATAGAGCAGCAGGAAATGCTAGCAGAATTCTTGGTTGTATAGGGAGTAGAAAGAGCAGTAGAAAGAGGGAAGTGCTGATGCCATTGTACAGAACACTGGTGAGACCTCACTTGGAGTATTGTACACAGTACTGGAGACCATATCTTCAGAAGGATATTGATACCTTAGAGTGAGTTCAGAGAAGGGCTACTAAACTGGTTCATGGATTGCGGGATAAAACTTATCAGGAGAGGTTAAAGAATCTTAACTTGTATAGCTTGGAGGAAAGACGAGACAGGGGGGATATGATAGAAACATTTAAATACATAAAGGGAATCAACACAGTAAATGAGGAGATTATATTTAAAAGAAGAAAAACTACCACAACAAGAGGACATAGTCTTAAATTAGAGGGACAAATGTTTAAAAATTATATCAGGAAGTATTACTTTACTGAGAGGGTAGTGGATGCATGGAATAGCCTTCCAGCTGAAGTGGTAGAGGTTAACACAGTAAAGGAGTCTAAGCATTCGTGGAATAGGCATAAGGTTATCCTAACTATAAGATAAAGCCAGGGACTAATGGACTAATGGACTAATGAAAGTATTTAGAAAATTGGTCAGACTAGATGGGCCGAATGGTTCTTATCTGCCGTCACATTCTATGTTTCTATGTCTAGATGTAGGTGACTTGCCGTATGTAACGTTGTCAATACCGTGCTAGACCGAAGTAGCTTAATATGTGGAGTAAGGATAAAACCTATTGGATGAAGGAGTAAGGTTTCCTGGATTCCTTAGGCTCACAGAGGGAAATATAGGTTGGGTTGGTGTAGGTCTAGCGCGACTAAGCGTATAATTGTAATAAGTAAGATAGGCAGTTTATAACCCTTTTAAAGCAGGCCCCTCCTTTCAAACCCAAAATTGTGTTGTATTGGGTTGCACATAGAGGGCCTTGTGAAGCGAATGTAGTAAAGGTCAAGTAAGGACCATGTTTAAAGGTATTTAATTAATCAAGATCTGGACAGTATTGATGACACTGAATCGTTTGCAACATGTGAGTATATTTAGGCTGTGTCCTATGTAGGTGATGATGACCCCACCTAATAGATACTGCTGAACCACAGTGTTTGACATGGGTAGGGACAAGACATGTGATGAAGAATACAGGTTCCCCAGGAGGATGACCAAGTGAAAGTTATATAGAAAGGTATGATTAATTTATCGATATTGTGTAGTGTGGTGTAGTAGTATACAAATGAAAAACCTAATGAAGGGCTGAAATAGGAACATAGTATGTTGCCCACTGAGGGTCACGTGAAACGGATGTTGCAAAGTCCCATGGCCTTTTCCAAGGACAATGTATCTGAGTCCGAGAAGGGGCCCAGGGTAAGTCCTGAGGTGCAGGGTGGCCACGTGAGGCTGTGATAAAAGTAATGGAGGGGGTGATTGGTAGATAAAATATAGGTTGTAGAGTTGTGGAGAAGTAGCGATTAAAGGAAATATGATAGTAATGAGACAGTAAAGAAACCTCTGGTGCAAATACTAATAACAATAATAATAATAAGCATCTAGCTTGTAAAATGGTTAACATAGAGACAGTAAGAGATACACATGTTAAAAGTTATACAATACATACTTACTGAGCCAGTTGAACAAAAGGTATAAAAGAGAATTTACAATAGGAATGAGGTTTGGACCACGAGAATGCAATAGTGCTGAATTGGTTTGAGGCCGTGATGGCCGTACACTAAACGTAGGAGGAGACAGAATTTATAAGACATATATTTATAAAATGTCTAGCTTTTGAAATGGTGAACGTAATATTTTTATATAATACATACATTTATAAGGCATACTTGTGGAATGCTTAGGAGGATGATTAACACTTATGCATACATAATTGGTATGACACAATAGGTTTGAAAGCAACAGCAAATGCTAGTATAATGTAGAGTAACATGCATTAATATGAGGCTAGTGATGGTCGAATCGAATGGCAGTACCATGTGTTAGAGGCCCTGTAGGGCTTGTTAAGACACACTTGTAAATATAATCCCAATAAAAAAAATTCTATCTGCTAAGCAGTTTTTTTTTAGGTTTTTTTTGTGTCATTTTTGGGCAGTGGAGTGTCCCCAAGTGGCGGACCTGGTTCGTGGCATGTCTTGATTGAAGTGTGACTATAACATATTTAGATGAGGGCCATGTATATAGCCATATAACCATAGAACAGACATAATTATGACCGACAATTTAAAACTACGATTGACTATGCCCGTGCGTAGCCCAGAAAGGGCTAAAACAATGTAAGTATTGACAGACAGGGAAATAAGACAGATTATTAACAGGCAGTACCATACCAAGTTCGGACCTGACATGAATTTAGACAGTCAGTAGCAACACTTAGCCACATAATTACATAATTAACATTATAGGCCCAGTGAGTGCCTGAATACCAAGAGGGCAACCATAAAGAAATACATATAGGTACTGAGGCCTGGTGAACATACGTAACAAAAGCTGCAAATATGAAAAGTTTATATATAATAGTATGTAATATACCAAATAACTTAGGGTGACTAACTAAAGTGTATATTATAAAATACAATATGTTCAAATACAGTAAGCAGAATGCATGAACCTAATTGTGCTATCACTGTGATGTTGTGATTGAAATAAGCTGTATTTGCGTTTGTAGTGAAATTCCCCATAAATTCCGGATAAAGAACGAATACGGACTGAAATGCTAATGCCCCCCTGGTTAGTGAAAGGCCAAATATGGGCTGAACACATATGGAATGTCAGTGATAGCGTGGCCCAATGCAGACCAAAACGAACAAACTTACAGTTTTGCTAAAAAAACACGTGAACAGCAATAAGAAAAGCCGCGGCTTTTCTTGAAAACCTAAGGGATTATTTTTCTGTTTTTGTGTGTATATATATATATACATATATATATATATTCAATGATATTATATGTATTAAGCAGTATGTATGTTAAAAATAACTGTATAAAAATAAAGTATTCACCATTTTACTTATGTTTGCCAAATTTAATTAATATAATGGATAACAAGTCCTGAGTACCTACCTATTTCAAATATCCTATATCTGCATGACACTGCATCACTTGAGTACAGCAATATCCCACATGTATACTTTTTCCAGATTTGGGGATCTTACAGAGGTCAAATTTGAAAAAAAAACACCCTAAATTTATCACGCCTCTTTGCTTGCTTCCCAAAGAAGCTATTCGTTGAAGTGACATCATCTGTGTCACCATACTGATGAGAATCAAGCTTTATGATGCCATGTCTAACCCAATCTAACCATATCTTACCCAAGCCATATATAGCCCTAGCTAACATTATACCTAACTAAACTTAACACTAGATAATCACAGTTGACTTAGTTAACCCAAACCCAAGCTAACACTACCTAATCCTAAAGAAAAAAAAGTTACCTGCGCTCTTCCCAAATCCTCATGTACATTTAAACAAATGGAGGTTACCTAGTTACTCCAATGACCATGAGAGGGAATGTCCACCTGCCACGTCAAGGCAAACCTCTAGAGGGATCCTCCCTCCTAGGTGTATCACACAGCTATGTTACAATGCTGCCACCCATCCCATGTGTTCCCTATTAAGGGTTAATCAGCATGTAGGGGTTTATATAAAGGTGTTAAGGTGTTCCATAATGCGGACCTTAAGGACTCTTTTGGTGCGGCCAACACATTGTTTACCATATGGACACTGCAGCAAATAAACCACAAAGTCCATGTGGCAGCCCAGTAAATGATGCTATTGGCCTATACCGGATGTCCTTGCAGGCCCAAATAATACCTATGACTTTGGTATGCTCGAAATTTGCCGTATGCCTCAATGTAGCTATTTCTGGATTTCCTCACTTGTGGGCAATGTACGGAGCTAGTCATCACCCGTATAAGTGACAAAGTAATACTAAGGGATTATAATCAGTAATGTATACTATGTTTTTTTTTTCTTCTTTGATTAGTGATGTTATGTTTAAAAAATCTTGTTGAACCGGTGTAGAACATTAATAAGTAAGTATTATATTATGTAATCTGTATATCAATATATAAAGTTTATATGAGATGATTCACTAATCCGTTAATAAGAAAACATAGCATCTTTAAGCAGAGTTATATTTAGGAGCTTATTGAAACTAAATATACCACTTCTAATTACATATGTATTTTTATTTGCATGCAATGCTTTTACATATTGTAACAAACTGAACAAAATAGATGGATAATTCAAAATATATAATGTAGGAAATCCATGAAATAAAATAGTGTCAGGCTGAGATTTCCTTCCCCAAAAAAACAAAAGTTACATGTTTTTCAAAAGGAATAATCCAAAATATCAATAAAAATATGACTTGTTAATAGTATTAGTGCATTGTTCAATGTAATTCAGTTTGATGTTCTGATTGTATACTGGTATAATATATAATGAAACATTAAAAAGGAAAGGTCAACAAATATGCTTCCTTTAACTGTAGGGAAAAACTAATTAGAAATTTACTCAATCTGGCATATTTATAATTGAATAGTCAAGATATTTTTGTTTTCTGTTCTTCAAGTAAATACCTATTTTTTTTACAAACCCCTAGCCAGTTCACGTATTTCAGGTGTTCCAGTTCAAACACACCTGGTGCAACTAATGAAGACCTTGATTAGTTGTGTCACGTGTGCTCAAGACAACACCCATTTTGCATATTTGTGCTGTTGTGAGGGATTCTATTCAGGGGGTTAAATAATATTGAGACTGGAGAAGTCATTATAAGTTGCATTTTCAGTTGAAAGTTGAAAACCACTTGAAGCATTTGTTGTGTTGAGCTGTTTCAATTGCTTTTGTTTGACTTGTTCATTGTAAACAGCTGAAAGTCTGTATTTTTTGTAACATGAACCTGATTTAAAATGGGAGTTGAATAATTTTGATTACAACTGTAGATCCATAATTTTTATTACTCACGTCTCATTTGATCTGCATATAGAATCACCATTTAGTTACTTTTCCCTAGCCATCACTATTTCGTTACTAAAACCAATTTTTTTAACATATAGTGCAGTACTAGTTAACAGGCCATTTAATTATACTTTTGTGGGCTGCCCACACTGTTGTAGGATAATCTCTGTCTGCAGGGTGATTAAAGCGCCACATGCCCTGCAGATGCAAGTTAAGTAATGCTGAGCGTAACTTCTTAAGTTTAGAAAAGGGACCCGTAATAGTACCTGATGAAGTATCCAGCATGGGATCCAGCAATCTAAAAGAAGAACATAAAACACAAACTAGTGTGATACAGTTAAATAAAGTAATATGCTAGGTAAATGGATGCACTCTGCTCTGGCGGAGGTATATAGATGACGTTATTATTTAGAAAGGGTCTTCATTTTGTTTTCAAAATGTTGTTTATTTTCTAAACTAATCAATACAATCTCAAATTTACCCCCACATGGAACAAAGACGAGATTAATTTTCTTGATTAACTTTGTTCTGTGAAAATGGGCAGATCAAAACTAAATGTTTCTTCAAGCCAACAGACAGCAACGGATGTGTTCATTAGAAAAGTTGCCATTAACAACCGTGGCTTAAGGAAAAAGCTAAGGAACAATTTACACTCTTGAGACGTAATTGTACACAGCTCCGAGATTTTGAGATCCAGTCATAGCACATTAAGAACAAACCTACGGAAAAGGGATACAGAAGGAAAGCTTTAGAGAAAGAGATTAGTCTAACCACTAAACTAGAGAGGCACAACTTACTATTGGACAACAGTAGATCAAACACAACTTAATAGGTAAACACCAATAAACAATGATGAGTAACTACTTAAGTTAGATAATGAGGCCCGATATGACTACCATAACCACTGTGTCACTGTAGAAATAGCCGCCACCTGCGGTTGAAAATATAAGTACTGGGTGCCTATTGAGTTAACAATAGTGATTACAGGACTCTGTGGAGATGGAGCTTCAATTGTAGCTTCAGGATGTATTCACAAAGTAACATAAAAATGTATCAGCTAATTATACCATTTCCTCCCATATAGAGGGGTAGGAAAAATGGAAATAGCTGAAATGTTGGTCTAGTAGGGGTTCTGTAATACACATGAACCGGTAAACATTAAGATAAATATAATAATTGAGAAAATAAATTGTCCCACTATGGTAAAAATCCAAAAAGCTGTGTCAGTTATATAGTGTAGCCGACAGAGTGTTTACTATAAAAGATTTTATTAGCACAAATACACTGTCAAAATCATACACATAGATATAAAAGACAAATAAATATTCCAAGTGAAAAAAGCAGATAATACCAAGTTTACAGTCTGAGGGTCCAATGTTGTTAATATCTCTCTCTCACCGGCCAGATGAAAATGTGCTCAATCACCGTGGAGATGCTCAATCACCGTGTATAACGACGTCACATCCGCAGTGACTAAAAAATATTCTTTTTTCCATTTGATGGTTGATAGAACCTTAATCTCCAAGGGTGTGAAGCCAACACTCTTTTGCGAAATATTCAGAATTAGAAAACAATCAGATTAGTTTCCTTGTTCAGGCTATTGCTTTTATTCAAAGCCATAATTCCTTTTGGGCACAACAGAAGTTTTATTTACAGATAGAGGGCAACACCATGGGAACCAGGTTTGCACCGAGTTATGCAAACCTTTTTATGGGAAAATGGGAAGAAGAATTTATTTGGAATAATTCCCCATTTAGTGCAAACCTGGTCCTGTGGCAGCGCTATATAGATGACTGTATTTTTATTTGGGAAGGGGATTTATCCTCACTTGAAGATTTTAAGAAGTACTTAAATTTTAATCCCTATAATCTTAGATTTACTTTTACCCATTCCAAAACTTCAGTTGAATTTTTAGATTTGGAGCTATATATTAAAGAAGAGATGATCTACACTAAAACGTTCAAAAAACCCGTTGATTGTAATAGTTTTATCCCCTCATATAGTCATCACAAGAGGACGTGGCTTGACAATATTCCATATGGACAATTCAGGCGCATTAGGCGCAACTGTACTGAACTGGACATATGCAAAAACCAAATGGAGGAGATGAAAGCACAATTTCTCAAGAAAGGATATAATGAAGAAAAGCTGACTAATGCAATGGAAAGAGCTCTCAACCTTCCAACAGAAGAAACTTTGGAGAGTAGAAAAGAACCACTCAAATTGAATACTAAAACTCCAGCATTCAGGCAGGGAAAGTTAAAAACATTTTGAATAAACATTGGAAAGTTCTGAAGGTAGATAACACATTAGGCACTATTTTGGATGAAAAACCTAGGGTCATCTATTCACGGGCATCGAATCTCAAGACCATATTAGCTCCAACGCTAAAAGAAATCAGAACACAAAATGACAACATGGAGACTGTGGGTTTCTACAAATGTGGCAATTGTCTAGGCTGTAGGAATAACCCAGCTCAACCATCTGTAATTAAGCAATTGAAAAGTATGAAAGGGGATGAAGACTTCAAGATTAGAACGAATTTATGTGTTGGCCGCACCAAAAGAGTCCTTTAGGTCCGCATTATGGAACACCTTAACAACATTAGAAAAGGCCTTATGACACATTTGGTCCCGGTTCACTGTAATTCATGTCCAAAATTCTCTATCAAAGAGTTTAAATGTACAGGTATAGAAAGAGTTTTACCTTACTGGAGGGGCGAGGATAGGGTTAAACAACTCGCCAAACGTGTAACCTACTGGATTCACAGATTACAAATATTAGAACCTAAGGGACTGATTAAGGACATAGACCTGGTCTGCTTCCGATAACTTCATTTTCCATAACTTGGTTTAGAGTTTCATGCCAAATGACCATAACCACCTTTATTACTCATGGTGGTCTCTGCTTTCCACTTCAATTAATTTCTCGCTTCTGTTTTCTGTTTTACAACTAGTATTTTACAATATCTCATGACGTCTTTTGAACGAGATATTAACTTTTTGTTTTAGATAGGTATGTGCGGACATACGTATAGTAATTGTATCTTTTTTATTTATTATTTTTAACAAGAACATACTAAAGTTAAAAAAATTCCTAACTTATAATTATGTTTATTTGTGCACTTGTCACTTTAAACTTTGTGTTTTAAATCTGCATATAACATAAAGTGAATAAGATGAGAATGTTAATTATCTGTGTGACATTTTATGGTACTTTACCTCTAAATGAGAGATGTTTGGCAAGAAAATAACACCACTTCTCTTTGGCAGACATACAGTATGATTTTTTTTGTCTTTCCTTGTGTTAATTGTTTTGGAACTCCCCCTGGAGACCTCTAGAGGGAGTATATTACATCTATTATGCACCCGGTGAAATGCACAATGGAACACACAAAAGTATCCAATTTTCCGTCTGCTTCCGGTCTACGATCAACGATCGAGAAAGAAAACAATTTGACCAGGAGATCACCGAAGCCTCACAGCTGCTCTGGATGAAAATAACGGACTGATTGGATCCCAGACGAATGAAGACGCCCATGAAACCACCATTAGAGCTTGGGAATTGGCACTATTTAAATGGACTTCGGGTGGTTTTTCATAGGCTGCTTTTTTTTCGTATGATTGTTACTGATATTGGTTTTAGGTCCCTGAGGAAGTCCCAATAGAATGGGATGAAATGCATATTGCTTATCTTCTAATATTCTATTGGTGTCAATTCACCTTTTTATCTGTAATAAAGCTGCTCCTTTTTTCAAAATCCTTATTTTGAGTCTTGCTTTCAACTGGTATATAAGGAACGTGGTAAGGGATCCATCATTGGGGGAGGCACCAATTGAGTACAACTAATACTTCAATTCTGTGAGTGCATCCATTTACTGCACATATTACTTTATTTAACTGAATCACACTACTTTGTGTTTCATGATCTTTTTTTAGATTTAAACAGCCGTATCCCATTTGTTTTTTTTCTGTCTATATTCTGAAATCTATGAGTGTTGGTAACTCAGTTTAGTGGATGGAGCCCAAGATACAGATAGATGCTGAAGGCAAATAAATAACCAAGTTTGCCAAAAGATTAGACAAAGAGAATAGTTGGGGAAGCCAAAGGCAGCACAGGTTCAGAAGCGATCATACAGGCAAGGCTCAAAATAAGGAACAGGATCAGGATCAGGATATAAGTCTCTGAAGGTATATATACAATCAGGAGCACAGTACAACTGAGCGAAAGATGTGTGCGACTTAAATAGGGGAAGTGGGTGGTCTTGTTAATTGAGGTTCCACCCTAGTCTCCACCTCCTGTACCTTTAAAAGGCTCTGTGTTGGCGCGCACGCCTTTTGATTCTCCTGAAGTTCTTCCTTCTGTGTGGTCGCACGTGTAAGAAGCAGCATTCTCACTAACAGACTTCTGTTCTTGCTGTGTTCAGGAGCAAGCGTCTGTATGAATGGAGTTCTGTCTGTAGTATAGGTGAGTAGCGTTCGTACGAACAGAGGTGCTGTATCTGGTAAGTGGCATTCGTGTGAACAGAGGTACTGTTTACATGAACGTGAGCGGTCGGCGTGGGTGATTGCAACTTGGGAGCGCGAGGTAGGTCAGTGAGGGGGTGTCTGCATAATACTTAACCTTTGACATTAAAGGAGGTAACTATTATGGATGATGTCTCACTAGCCATACTTAGTCAAAAATATAGGAGCAAATAGATAGTTGTCGGGGGATGGGTCAAAGGAAAGGGGAAAGATAAAAGACTACAAGAATTATCATTATTTTTGGGATATGGAGTAATATATAGTGAGCAACTGCCAGCATGTGGCAATGTGGTAGTAAAGGAAATGTTCTGCAAAATGGGAGAAATAATGAACTAAATAATTGTTTTCTGGTAATTAAAAATATATGGGGAAATGTGTCATATAGAGAGGAGCTTGGCACAATTTAAGAGTAGAGGAAAAAGTAGCAAAATGTTGAATATTATTACAAGTTATTGTTTTGTTGTCGGATTTTACTCTCACTATTCTGTTAATGGCATTTGAAAAATGCAGTGTTTGCACACTATTTTTGTCATAATATAGTACTTGTGCAGTACTTTTAGAATTCCCAGATATTCTAATGGACAGTTTTGTTATTTGTTTTTTGCAAATCACAAAAAATAAGGAAGCTAATAAGGAAATATATATATATATATATATATATATATATATTATAATTTCTTAATGGTTATACATTTTCAGATTAGACTCCAGTAATATGCTTTTCTCTTCTTTTAGACCAGAGTAATATGAAAATATAATACTGAGCTTTTAATCTTGATTATTTCATATAAATTGACCACTTATAAAAAAAAATAAAAAAAAAATAAGTCAACTTTTTTAATTGGTTTATATTATATGACTTCCTCACAATAATGCTTAGAATACCACACTAAAAAGTATACAACATATCAATTACAGCTGCATTAGGAGCTATTTATGTTGCATTAAAAATACAAAAGCATAATAAAACTAAGATGCAAGACTCTGTTTCATACTCTAGTCAGCAATTTTAACCACATGAATGGCTAATTAAGATAAAATTAGGAAACAATGCTTTAGACTTATCTTTTTCTTACAAGCAATGTTGTTAATCTAAGCACATAATACACTGTATAAAGAGTGTTCTATGCTACAATGTTTAAAATATTTGCATTGTAGGAAATATCAATTGTCATTTTATGCACTATAACACTTGTTCCAAATAGATTTGCGATGCATTATTATATATAAAGCAGGGTTAATAAAAAGTATTTATATTTAATACATTATTTACACTATTGTTTATGACAAGCCGTTATTTCACATAGTTATAATAATGAGGAATAAAAAAAAAAATATTCATGAATAAAGCATATCTAATTAATAGAAGACCCTTTCAAATAAAAACAAAAAATAAAACAAATAATCACCCTATTAGATGAATCTCTTCACTAATCCTTCAGCACCTGGGTTTTGGAATGGGATATGCAGAAACATTAAGAAAAAAAAGGTATGAAATCTCCTGGAAGATTACTATCCTTCTAATCCGCCAATGAGTCCCCAAACAAGAATCTACCAAGTAAAAATAGCGTTCCCAAACTCTTTTGTGCAAATCTCTTATGTATAGATGTAAACCTGGTATTTTTAAATATATGTTATGTCATGTGTTGGATGAATCCAGAACTGTGTTGTCAATCTGCCTGCAGTACCATTTCTTACCATGAAATTTACTGGTTCTGTGCTTAAATAGGTACAGTGCTAAACATCTTTAGGTATGGATGACATGCATTCAGGCAGGAGCAGACAAATCACTTTGGCACATCGGTCATGAATAAGGGCCAGTGGCAGCCAAAGGGCCCAGATTAACAGTCAGAAAGGCAAAATTCCAATGCATGCACATATTCCAGTGATAGGTTGCAGGGGTTGTGGTAAATGACACCCCCCACCCCACAAACCTTCTGAGTGAAACCTGGCAGTGATATTGCTTGTTAGGGGTGGCGGTCCGGTGACTGAGACCCAGTATTCCTGGTCTTGATAGTAGGTGTCACTGTGTGGAAATGGATTATCAGGGCCTGGTGCAGGGTAAGCGCATGCCCCCTGGTGTTGAGCACCAGCTTTGTGCGGCCACATACCAGGGCCCTGATGCAGCTTCTGCGGATCCCAGATGACTATATGCAGACCACCTAGGATCTGAATAGGGAGGCTCTGCAGCAGATATGTATCCAGTACTAGAAAAAAGGCAAGACAAGAACAGGCACCAAAGAAGATAGCAAGACAAGACTAGAAGAACCCAGAACCGAAGAAGGACAGAAAGCAGAACATGTACACAATACATAAGGAAAACATGATTAGGACATGGAAAGGGCATGACATGACAGGACTGTACATGAACTGGGAATACAAGGCAAAATAAAACAAGACAAGAACTACAAGGCAAAACAAGAGGAGACATAACTAATTACTAATATGTGCAATAAACATGGGAGATAATGTATAGACATACATAAATGGCCAAGATGTATGCAGCCAACCACTGCCTAGATATGTATGCCTAAATAAACAATAAAAAAAAACATGCAGCACTTACCTGCAAAGAAAGGAGCAGAGATAATGAAACCACTGTCAGCAGGACCAGACTGAAACAAAAAGGATTAATGGGAAAGGAACGGGTGTGGCAACAAAAAACAAACATTTAAAGGAATCCAAGAGACTGGGAATTGCAGGAACGGAATACAGGAATGAACCCAGAAAACCCAGCATAAAGAAAACCAGACATGTAAAAGAGAACCAGAAAAAAAAAAAAAAAAAAACATGAATTGTAAAAAGAGTACTGGATACCAGAAGCCATTGCCAGAAATGATTCGTAGCCAGGAACAGGATGTGACATTGCTCTACCTGTGCCATGTATTCTCCATTATCTCATCTGCTGTGCATTCTATGAGGAGAAGAGGCTGAGTCTGGAGCTAGGAAGTGACATCACTTCCTGCTATGTCCTCTCCTGCAGAGTGTTCATGGGCTTAGAAAATAAGGACAAGCTTTTTTTGCTGCTGGTGCTCATGTAGAGACAGAAATTGGGGGTGAAAAATGCAAACCCCCTGCACCCACTACAGCACCTAATCCTACAACAGTGCCCATCCAACCCTTGCACCCAATACAGTCCATATCCCCCTTGTTACAACCTCAGCCCATTTTCCCACCTGCACTTCCTACAGCCCAAGTGCCCCTCCTCCCATCACAGCCCATCTATCCTCTTCTCCCTCCACAACCCCTATGCCCCTCTGCACCCACTGCAGGACCTATCCCCCCTGCACACACTACAGTCCCTATGCACTCCTGCACCCAGAGCCCTTATATTCCCTGATATCAACTTCAGTAGCCACACAACAAATCCTATTCCCTATTGTACAAACATGTATTTTATCAGATCTGAAGCTAAAGTCATATATTGTATTTATGGCCATCCTAGAACTGGCAGCCTCCATTTTAGCACCTAATTAAATGTCTTAGCATTTTATTCTAAAGATGGACTCGAAGTTCTAGAAAGAAAATGGATATTCAAATAAATTGAGAGTTTGACAACCAACAGAAGAATGACTTATAAATCTAAGGCTTAATCAGCAAGTCTTTCAGAACTATTATTATACATTGGACATGCCTGTGCTTTAAATTTCCAGATGTAAGTATTGAGGTCTATATATATATATATTCCCAACTTTAATATAAATCACAATATATTCCTTTTCCAAATTAAAATTAAAAATTAGTCTGTGGATTGGTTATTTATAAATACCTACATGCATTTTGGCATGCAGCACCTGGTATGACACATATATCAATAGTTGCAAAAACTATGTGCAAACAATGACGAATATAAAATTAATAAAACTTCCCTTCAGCAATTAATCCACCACAGAGATTTCCTCTAATCTTTAACCATAGACATAAAACAAGATAGTAGTGGTGATTTTGCTAGGGGAAATAAGAAAGGCACAACATAGTGTTTAAAGTGCAAATAATGACATGCAGGCAAGCCACTAGCAAAAAGGATCACTCCCCAAATCTAAACAATTGACAAAAACAAGATCTGTATAGTTAAAAAAGATATACAGTGTAGGGCACCACTTTCACGAATGTGTGCTTATAGTTACCACTCAGATGATGGGGGATAACATGAAAAGAGAAAAAAAAAATAGATAAATTATAGTGTAGTATTTAATGACAACAGGGTTGAAAGAAAAACAATTAAGAATACATTTACAAAATAAGTGGCACAATAAGAAATACTCCTTAATGTGCAAATAAGCGTTTTAACCACCAAAGGGCTTAGTCTGCATGTAGTGTACAGCTGCCAATTGTACCTCAGGACACCAGTAGTTCTGACCAGGCTATAAAGAAAATAGTAGATCTTGGAGAGAGTTCTTGAGAGAGTCCAACAGGATGAAACGCATCAAGCCTTTAAAGTACCCAAAGAAGACTACAGGATCTACTATTTCTTTTGTAGACTGGGGAAGCTATAGTAACAGGAAAAAAAGTTTGTTTTCCTGGCACTATAGTTTCCCTTTAACAAGTGGTGGTCCTGGCACTTTTTTTTTATCACGTTGGATGCAGGCAATTGTGGACAGAGTGGGTTTGACTCTCAGCTTGTCCTTGCTTCCAATCAGACATAAATTCCATTGGCTCTTTGGGGACAGTATTTGCCCTGGTTTCCCCCTAACCTAATTTAGAACAGGAAGCACATTTTCAATTATGGTAAAAATGTGTTTTTCTCAAAAAAGGAAACAACAACAACTTTTCATCTATCATTTGATGAATTTCCATAACAAACAATTAGGATATACTAATTAAAATAAAAATGATGCCCTAGTTTTCTATATTTACATTTTTTATACTGTATATTGTAAAATGTGTTTTTCATTAAATAAATTAAGGAAAAAATGTGTTTTTAAATTTGAGATAAGTGTCACTGAGTTTGGTTAGTTCATTTAATTTTTATGAGCAGCATATGTTTTTTTCGACTGCCTATATGAATATACTTTGGATTTAACGAATAATAATAATACAAAATACTAATAAAAAGAAAATATATTTTCAGCAGTAAAGAGTTAAATATATATTTTATTTGAGTTTTTAGTATTTCTATGTAGGATTGGTTATAGGATACAGCATATAATCTTACTATCTGTTTTGGCATGTAGTGATTTATTGAATATAGAATGTTGTATTTTTATGTATTCATTACTAACATTTAGCCTGTGAAACAATCCTTGAAGGAGAAAATGAACCCAGTTGGAAGCAAGTAATTTGCAAAAACTTGAATGTGCTTCAGTGAGCAATGCTATTATCTTATGGTGTTTTAATGCCAAGTAGGAACTAAATAGGTAAAAAGCACAGATAGTAGACAATATAATTTTGAAGGAGAAAAGGGTATCTTGAGTTTACTGACCACAAGAATTTAACCATGTGTGGTATATATAGTTGCTCTAATAACCAAGAAAAAGACAAAACATTATTTTACTCAAATGCAGAAAATTAGATCCAGTAAGCCAAATATACTGACAGGTTGTGCATTTGTAAATAATTTTCCTAAAAATTTGCCTAAAATGTTGATCTTCGTGCCTTTTATTGCTTATAGATATTACTTGACCACAGGGTTTATCAGACATAGTAGTGTCAACCAACAAGGTTATTTGCTAAAATGTTATTGTTAGGGATTTTCAATAGAATGAAACAGAATTTAAATTTTACATTATTGTAATCAAAGCAGAATTTTTTTTTCAGTTTGGATATTTTGAAAAATAATTTTAGGTTTATGTTGATTTCACTTTGATCCCGAAAAAAAAAAAATCACATTTTGCTGAATAACAGGCTTACAGTAGTGTATGCATGTGTTGAACTTTTTAAAATGTATTTAGTCAATCACTGCTGACTGTTAGCATAGTATGTAAGGTAGTTGTGTTATCTTGTAACATAGTCATGTTTAGCAAATTTGCTAATTCTTCTTGGCATTATAATATCCTAATGTTTTTGTATTATTGTATTTTTTTAATTACATTTTATGACTCTTAGTGGTATGTTTCGAAAGTCAAAGCTTGACAGACAATTTATTATCATGAATACATAGGTCAATGCCAAAAAAGTCATCTCTATCTCCACTGAAGAAAATAAATTTGGAATATAAATGTGATTGCACAAGTGCTGGTCTAACAGTATTTACTTGAGGAGAACACTCAGTCTACTGTGACCATACAGTATGCTAATCATTAAGCTATGTGTGGTGGTAATATGAAGACAGTAACACAGCTGTTAACACGTCAGCTATATTGTATTTAGACTAGTTGACAAAACAAGTTTCATGTTTTCAATTAAGGTGTATTTGAGTAAAATAAAATGTATTTGAGTACTATAAAGACACATATAATTATCATTCAGGTTCAAGCATACTTTACTGTATTGATTTATTTGTTTAGAGGGTATTTTTGCATCTACCTTCTTAGTGCTGTAGGGAATGATTTATTTAGCTATACTGTATTTTCTGCATCTACCTTCTTAGTGCTCTAGTGATTGATTTATTTAGCTATATTGTATTTTCTCCACCTACCTGCTTAGTGCTGTAGTGATTGATTGATTTATTTACTCTGCTTTTCTGCATCTACCTTCTAATGGCTGCAGGGATTTTTTTGTTTAGAATGTGTTCACCTTCCTACTGCCATTATGATTTATTTATTTAGATTGTATTTTTCTGCCCCTACTTTTTTGCTGTAGTGATGTATTTTCTCATGACTTTTATGCATTTTCCTGTTTTGGGCCCACCTGTCTGGGGATCGTTTTTTTTCTAGGGTTTGGGGGGGTTTCCTTTTTCCCTCCCTCCCTCTACCTTTTCCAGGTGGCTTTGCCCCCTTCACTTTTCGTCCATTTGTAGCCACCGGAAAGTGGTCCTCCGACCGTTTTCTGTTGCCAAACGCCGGGACCCCGAAGTAAGACTCCGGCGGTCCCACGTGTTGGATCCCTCCCACCGGCTCCGTCCGCCAAGTGAGATCCTCTGCTTCCACCCCCCACCCGACCCACGCTTCTGCTCCTCCAACCGCTTTCTGTTGCCAAACGCCAAACGCCGGGACCCCGGAGCAAGACTCCGGCAGTCCCATGTGTTGGAACCTCTGCTTCCACCCCCCACCCGACCCGAATGCTATGTGCAGTTACACAGAAGAATGCTATGTACAGTTACACAGAAGAGTGTTATGTACGTACAGTTACACGGAAGAGTGTTATGTACAGTTACACAGAAGAGCGTTAGGTACTGTTACACAGAAGAAGGTTATGTACAGTTACACAGAAGAGTGTTATGTATGTACAGTTACACGGAAGAGTGTTATGTATGTACAGTTACATGGAAGAGTGTTATGTATGTACAGTTACATGGAAGAGTGTTATGTACAGTTACACAGAAGAGCGTTAGGTACTGTTACACAGAAGAAGATATTGTATGTTTACACAAAAGGATGTTATGTACGGCTGCACAGAAGAGTGTTATTTACAGTTACACAGAAGAAGGTTACGTACAGTTACACAGAAGAGTGTTAATTACAGTTACACAGAAGTGTGTTAATTACAGTTACACAGAAGTGTGTTATGTGCTATTAATCTAAAGAAGTGTTTTGTACATCTTATCTGAAGAGTGAAAGGTACATTTTATCAGAAGAATGGAATGCACAGTTCCTCACCTGTACATCTCTGAAGGTCCTGACTTGTCTGTGCCCCAGGACTTGGCCGGCTTCGTCTGTGCCTTATTGATTGGCCTGCTTTGCCTGGGCCCCATTAACTGGCCTGCCTTGTCTGTGCCCCATTGATTGGCCTGCTTTGTCTGTGCCCCAATGTCTGCATGCCAAGCCTACTGCCACATACTCATGCTTGTGCATTGCATGCGCTGCCCAACTTGCCTCGGTCACTATATGGGGTGCTGCCCCTATCTCCCTGGCGGTGACACTTGTCCTCTATACTCCTTGAGGTCGCTCTGCCTCGGACCGTTGCACAGAAGAACCCTTATCCGGATTAACAGCGCAGACAATGACTACTATGGCAGTGACCACCTCCGTGGAATTAGGCTTCAGCCAGGGTCCTCCCTTAAGCTTATCAGGAGCGTAACACTAGAGGGCCCACCTTTAAAATGGCAGGTGACTTGAATGAGTCAGACTCTCCTAGAGGAGAGCAGGCAAGGGCACATAAGCGCTACTGGAAGTGTGAAGGCCCTGAACCAGTGATTTGAATGAGTCAGACTCTTCTTGAGGATAGCAGGCAAGTGCGCATGAGTGCTACTGGAAGGGTGAATGCCCTGAACCAGGCTCACGGAAAGATAACACTCTGAGGAGCGGCTAGCCCCTCTGCAAGCAGCCAGATGCCCCTGCCTATATGGCGCGGGGGAGGCTATGACCACCGGACGCGGCAGTGATCACCTTCTTAAAAAGGAAGACGACTTGAAGGACTCAGACTCTCTGAGTGGAGAGCAGGCAAGGGCGCATAAGCACTACGGGTAGGGTGAAGGCCCGGAACCAGACACCCGGAAAGATTAGACTCCAGAGAAGTGTCTAACCCTGATACGATCGGCCTTGACGGCCAGACGACACTGCCTATATGGCGCAGGGGTGAAGGTCCCCATAATCCCCCCCACCATGGCTGCCCTAGCTGAATGGCGAGCGGACAGGTTCCCCTCAGAAGGAGAGGATGATGGGGGTGTGGATTATGATGATGGCCCCTAGTGGCACCATGAGATGTAGAACAAAGTCCACTACAGGGGCCTTGACGGTCGTGGAAGAAGAGGTTGTCTCAGGGATTGCCTTAAACGAGCCCCTGTTTGACCCTCGATCCATTGCTCACCTGGTTTCTTTGGAATGGTCTCTGCCCGATCACCTAGCACCATCGGTGCGTTTCTGGGCCCGTAGACTGCTGGCTTGAGAAGCCTGCAGGATAATTCGAGTGGTATTCCTAGCCGGGTTCCCAAACTAAGTAGCCGCAAATCCAGACTTAGACCCTGATGGGGCACTGCGGTTTTGCTGGTTAAGCACCTGTCTAGTATTCAGGAGATCCTGAGTGCGGCCCACTGCAGTGCCTATACTATTAAGTCCGCACTGGCAAACATCTCAAGAAGTAGAGTCCTGGAGGGCGGATTGGACGCAAGGGGATGCCTCCTACACTCTCCTCTGCACGAGTTCTCGGACATATGGAATAGTTTCTCTGGGAGGACCCGGCGTCAAGACTTTAGTCCACTGAGGAGGACCCATCAGGCCCCGACCAATTCGGCTGGATGACGGACCCATTTGCTCAGCGATGGACGCTTCCCTCCAGGAGTGTTCGACACAGAGATGCCGACGAGTCTGCTCCGTTTGTTTGGTCTCAGGACCTTTCTACAGGTGCCTCGGTCTGCTGGTACTTTGGAATTATGATCTCCGCTTCAGCAGAGTCGTACCTAGTTCCTGGATTCCCAGGACCCCTGCTCATTTGATCTGGGGGATTGTGAGACTTTGGTCTGCATGGCGACCCTGACGTAGTTGGGTCTGGTACGGATCTCCTAATTTTGCTACCGCTTTTACATGGTTCGGGAATTGTTCGGTCACTTTATTACTGAGGACGGCCATATTAATTAGATTAGGTAGCGCGTACGACTGTCGGCAGGCCCGCTCTGCTTAGAATTCCCTTTATGATTCCTGAGGACAGGTATTCATCTCCCCAGGGGGTACGTGCGTTTTTGTCATGCTCCTATGGTGGGTTCTGTCGGGTTTTGCTCATTCACTGATTCTGGAGTGTGATATGATTCTGACGAGAATGATGTGTGTGTGACTTTAATTAGTTAAGTAATGACTCAGTTCTGCATATAGTGATGGATTTTGAGTAAGGTTAAACCTTTTTTTTCTTATTTGTTCTGATCAGGGGATGTGAGTATTTTACTTTAAATTTTGAATGGTGTAGGCTGTTTGATCACGCGCCGCACCTTTTGTAAACAATATACTGAGCATGTGCAGCGCGTGATATGTTTATATAACATGCGCATGCTTGTAGCGCGCTCATACGAACTAGCGCGTTCAGGACGGGCGTTCACACAAAGCTTATATAATAAAGTATTAATTGCACTTGCGCAATAGGGTGTGGTTAATGTTCCAAGTTTATAAATTAGGGGACTTCTCGGGGGAAGATCGGAGCTTATTGAAGACGTCTTACTGGTGTTTTCCCGGTCTTCCCCCAATGATTGTTTGAGAGTTCCCAAATCACGGAGTGATGCTACAATATTCGGTGATGTATTGATGCTTACTCTTTATGATTATTGTTCCGATTCAGCTGCTAAGTTGTATAAATAATAAACGATTATTAATTGTATTACTATAATTGATTCCAGCCTGTTTTGTATGACAGTGAGCGTATAGAGCAGTTTTGTTTTTGTTTTGTTAGTAATACATAAATTGGCGACGAGGATGGGATTTCTCTAATAAATCCAGATATCGTTGAATAAAATTGTGTAAAAGATGTTTGGACGGAAAGAGAAATCTAAGAGTAAAACCTGTGTGCCTACGGAGATCCCCGGCTGGACCGAACCTCCCTATTGTATATTAGGTAGTGAGTTAAGAGAACATGGGTTAGCTGAATCATGGGACGATAAACTTAAAGATGTGGAACCTCTGGATGTAGTAAGAACTCTGGAGGGAGTCCCCGTTAAAACTGGTGATGATGTTTCTCTCGGGAGACGAAGCTGGATTTTGGCTTCTGCCTACAGACAAATACATAAAAAATTGGAGAAGGAAAAATTATTAAATAGAAAATTAGAACAACAGTTATTGGAATTAGATGGTAAGAAACTAATTTTAGAATGCCATCAAAAGTTATTGCAAGACAAATTGGATCATTATCAGAGAATAGCAGAGAAAGCTGCTATAAGGGTAGCTCAGGTGAAATACAGAAAAAGAAAAGGGAAAGTTAACAAAGGAAAAGTGGCTAGTGCACTTTCTGTAGCTACGGTGGAATGGGACCCTGAGACCTGGGATGGGGATATTTGGGATTCAACAGATAGTGAGGATAATGATGAATATCAAGTTGAAGAATTATCCCCACAAGCTCCTATTAGAGCTCAGCCAGTCAATAGGAGGCGTAGAACTACGGAATATGGCCCCGACCATCGTCCGGTTAGGGGAAGAAATGGAGAAATGCTTCCCCTTCTGGATGAGGGAGGAGAGCAAATGATAGGACCAGATGGAGAACCTTTGGTTATAACTGAGCCTGTCCCGCGTGTAAGGGAAAAGGCAGTAATGGAAGATTTTACCCAGGCTGAGGTAGAAGATATCTTGCAAAGATTCCGTCAGAGAAACGGTGAATCCGATTTAGCCTGGATGGTTAGATTGTTTGACCACGGGGCAAACGGTATTAGTTTAGATGCCACTGATATAATAAGATTTTTGACCCTTACCAAAGATCCAATGGTGTCTAAAGTTTTTAGACACTATTTTGATGGGCGGGGTCAGGAACCCGCTAATATGCTTCAGATAATAGCCTCGGGGATGATGGAAAAATACCCCACTGAGGCTGATATGCCCCGAAATGATAAAACATGGTACACCCTTAGAGATGGAATAGAGAAGGTGAAAGAAGAAGCTATGAGGTCTTCATTGGGTTTTGTAGCTGAAATGGGAAATTATTTGGATACTAGGTTAACTGCAGGAATTAGAGCTACAATATTAAAAACAGCTCCCCCGGCTTATAAAGCAGTAATGATGACGTTGCTGTTGTCCCTTATGGATCAACCATTGAGCCACTTGGTGGATCGAATGAGAGAACTGCAGGATATGGGGGTATGGGATAAACCTGACAATGAGGGAAAGAGGTCTAACGAGACCCCTCGGAAGTCTCTCCCTCAGAATCAAGGTCAGTCAGGGCAAGGAGGACAAGGTTCTCAAAATAGAATCTCTAGGAAAGAAATGTTTCAGGCTTTGTTGAAAGCTGGTATTAAGAAGGAAGAAATAGATGGAAAAGATACGCAGGTATTATGGAGAATGTATAAACAGAAAGTGTTATCTGCAAGAAAGGTAGACAGAGATAGGAAAAATGATAAGAAAACCCCCAAAGAAGGGAGAGAAGAAGGGATGCCTAAATGGGATGACTTTAAAAAGTTATACCCCTGGGAAGAAATAGCTGCAATGGTAGCTAGCAAGGTCCAAAATGTAGTACCTTTAACCCCTCCTATAGGAACAGAGGGGGAGGATTCAGAATAGGTAGCCAGCCAAGCCCCCATATGGATAAAGAGAGACACTCGCCCTTATGTAGAATTAGCTATTCATTGGAAAGGAGGAAATGTACAAAGAGTACCAGCATTAGTCGATACGGGGGCGGAGGCTACATTGATCTACGGAAATCCTAAGAAATTTAAAAGGTCCCAGGGTAAAGATCGCAGGATTGGGAGGTAACTGATAGGGGTACAGACCATGGTGACTATGAAAATAGGTAGACTACCCCTGCAAAGATATCAAGTATTGATAGTCCCAATCCCTGAATATATTATAGGAATAGACATACTTAGAGGTATGACATTGCATTTAGAAGAAGGAAGGTTTGCATTTGGCATAAGGAAAAATGTTATTGATTTACGACCGGTGGTGGTAGGACGAGTAAAAATGACACCTGTACACATACCACCGGCTACTAAATTGATAGCCATGAAACAATATAGAATACCTGGAGGGCATAAGGAAATAGGAGAAACTATCAAAGAATATGTTGAAGCAGGTGTGATGAAACCAGTGACCACAGCTTGGAATAATCCGGTGTGGCCTGTGAAAAAGAGTGATGGATCTTGGAGAATGACAGTAGATTATCGAGAATTAAATAAATACACTCCGCCATTGACTGCAGCTGTGCCAGATACCATTACTTTGGTGGAACAAATACAGGCAAATTCGGGACAATGGTATGCAGTAATAGACCTAGCCAATGCATTCTTTACTATACCTATTGAAGAAAAAGCTCAAGATCAATTTGCATTTACATGGCTAGGTCGGCAATATACATTCACAAGACTGCCTCAAGGGTGGATACATAGTCCCACAATCTGTCACCGGACGGTGGCCGAACATATTGATGAGATAAAGATTCCGGAGGGAATGCAAGTGACTCATTACATTGGCGATATTCTTATACAGGGGGGAGATGAGGAGTTAGTAAGTCAAATGTTAAATCAAACAATAACACATATGAGATCAAAAGGGTGGGAGATTAATGAAGCCAAGGTTCAAGGACCGAGCCAAGTGGTAACATTTTTGGGCATTCAATGGAATAAAGGACACCGAGAGATTTTGCCCAAGGCTCAGCAAAAAATATTAAATTTTGCCACCCCTGTTGACAAACAGCAAATACAATCATATATAGGGCTGTTTGGTTTTTGGAGGCAGCATATTCCCCATCTTGGACAACTGTTGGCACCTCTCTACAAGGTTACTCGTAAGAAATACGAGTTTCATTGGGGGGGAGGAACAACAAAATGCCTTTGAAGCCGTTAAAGAGGCCATACAACAGGCTGTTGATTTATGGCCAGTGCAGGAAGGGAGTATAGAACGTCATGTGTCTGTACAACAAGACTATGCTAATTGGTCATTATGGCAAAAACAAGGGGGGGAAGAGAGTCCCACTGGGATTCTGGAATCGTAAATTACCCAGTGCAGGAGATAAATATACCCCCTTCGAAAAACAATTATTGGCTTGTTATTGGGCTCTAGTGGATACCGAACAATTGACTCTAGGGCATGAAGTATTGTTAAGGCCCCAAATACCCATTATGCAATGGGTATTATCTACTCCCAAATCTAATAGGATAGGACATGCGCAGGAACAGAGTGTAATTAAATGGAAATGGTATATATCTGAGAGAGCAAAAAAAGGAGAAGGAGGGGTAGCTACCCTCCATGAACAGGTGGCGGCCACCCACTCAAGTGGAAGAATCCCCAGTTCAATGGGGACAGGCTTATGATAAACTAACTGAGGAGCAGAAGAAGCATACGTGGTTTACAGATGGATCCGCTAAGTATGTAAGTGGCAGGAGGAAGTGGAAAAGTGTGGCATTTAACCCTGCTTTAGATAAAACTTTGGTAGTTGAAGGTGAAGGGAAGAGCAGCCAATACGCTGAGCTCTATGCAGTATTTTTAGCCTTAAAACAGGAACAGGGTGGGGAATGTCACTTGTATACAGATTCATGGTCAGTAGCCAATGGGCTAGCCACTTGGATTACAGGGTGGAAAAAACAAGATTGGAAAATTCATGGTAAAGAGTTATGGGGAAAAGAGATTTGGCAAGATATAGATGCTTTTTTGGTCAATACTGTGGTTACTGTATTCCATGTTGATGCACATGTTCCCCTTGACTCATTGGAACGTTTATTTAATTCCCAAGCAGATGCTGCAGCAGCAATATCACTCTCACAGGTGGAACAAATTAGTGATAAGGATAAGGAATCATGGCTTCAAGGTACAGCTATTTGGGCACACCAGAAAAGCGGACACCTGGGAGAGAAAGCCACTCACAGATGGGCTAATGAAAGAGGTATTCCCTTAACTATAGATATAATTAAACAAATTATAGCTAAATGCCCGGTTTGCCAACATACACAGAAAAGGGAAGTACCACACACTATAATGGGCCATATAGGTAGAGGACAGCTACCTGCACAGATCTGGCAGATGGATTTTATTGGACCATTGCCAGAAAGTAGAGGTTGCAAGTATGTGTGCACGGAAGTGGACACATACTCGGGCCTATTGGTAGGGTTCCCATGTAAAAGTGCCACTCAATGGAGCACATTAAGAACTTTAGAAGTAATTATACAATACTATGGCATGCCATTACAAATACAATCAGATAATGGCAGTCACTTCACAGGAAGCCAGGTGAAAACATATGCCCAAGAAAATAATATTGAATGGGTATATCATATTCCTTATTATCCACAGGCCGCAGGACTTGTAGAAAGGATGAATGGAATCCTAAAATCTACGTTGAAAAAACTGTGCAGTGAGGGTGATGGTTATGGGCAATGGCGTGATAATCTTTCAGAGGCCTTGCAGATAATTAACAATAGGCCAATCACAGAATCATTGACCCCATTAATGAGGATGTTAACCCCGAACTTAGTGGTATCCACCAAGATGCACCAAGATGCACAACCTCCATATCGAGGTTCCCCAGCGGCTGCTGGATTAGATTTATATGCTTTAGAAGCAATAGTAATTGCACCAGGACAAATTAAAATGATTCCTACCGGCATAGGATGTAAGATACCGGAAGGACATTATGGCCAGTTGGCCACAAGGTCAAGTTTTGCCTTAAAAGGGGCAGTAGTAATAGGAGGAGTCATAGACTCCGACTATCAAGGTGAGATTAAAATCTTAATGATAAATTTAGGCCCTAACCCTTTAATAATAGCAAAAGGGGAAAGAGCCGCCCAAATGCTCTTAATCCCGATTTATTTATCGGAACTGAGAGAAGGAGAAGCCCCTACGGAATTGACAGTGCGGGGAGACAAAGGATCAACCAATACTGTCAATGTTGGAGCTAAGATTTGGGTCCAGAATGTCCAAGGACCGCCTTCCCTGCTGAAGTGATAGCAGTAGGAAAAGATAGGACTTTGTTGATCATGAGACCAGGGGTTGAGAAATGGGAATATGTTCCCCAGGAGAAATGTTATTTGCGAGAATAACTGATATCACTGTTTTCACAGAGTCCTCTCATGTGTATGATCCTTGGTATCCTTGGAAGCGTATTGTTGGTGTCAGGAGGTCTTGCATGGACCCCAGGAGTACAAGTTACAAATAAAGGAACGTCTAATGTAACCTGGAGTTGGAAAAACTCAACCAGGATACGACAACAAGATAATTTTATTTGTAATGCCAATCAAAAATGTGCAGTGGCCAACGTGACGGTGAATGGCACTATATGGGAAGGAAATCCCACTCCAAGAAGTGATGGAACATTATACCGACCTACATATGTGTTTGTGACTAGTAAAACTAACATTACTATTCAATCTCATGTGAATATGTCCTGCAATATACTTCCGGAGAAGAATTCAGCGTCCTGGGAGCCTACATGGAGAACTTGGAATTCTACACAGAAGTTGATGTATATCCAACAAAACCTTACAGCTGAGGGGAGATTTGTATGGATGATTCCCTCTAATTACACTTTGATTGTTTGCGCCAATGCAACAGAAATTTTCAATAGGAGTCATTTTGTACAATGGATACATTTATGGAACATGGAATCAGCTCATGTTGACCCCGGAAATATTAAAAGACTACCTGCAACTTCCATTCCTGTTGCAAGGACTGCACAAAAGACAATGGTCCAAATTAAAGTTACCTTTCCCCCCACTAAGATTTGTAGCACTAGGAAAAAACGAGCTTGGTATGATACCCTTTTGGGAGGATATGGTGCATTAACCGGAACTTTAAATGGTTTTGATATTGAAGCAATTGCTAATAGAATGCATAATGCAGGTGGCAAAATAAACAATGCATTGACATTGAATGCTAGATGGATGCCAACTATATGGGCCCCGCTTACATTACAAGTTAAGGTTGACAATGATATTAACCGTATGATTACTGATATCACTCAGTTTAACGTTAATTTTGATTTGAATATGACAGTTTTTATAAATTGGACAATATGTACGCTACAGACTATATATCAACAACAGCAGAAAAACAATATGCAGGAAAGGTTAATGACAGGCAATGAGGCAGTATGGCGAGATTTATTTAATCGAACCATTAATAATATCGATTGGTTGCGTATTGAGGCTACAAAAATGATTTGTAATGACATAGAATGTAAAGGAACACTTACTACATATAGGATTAGTAATAAAAAAATAATGTGTAGGTATGTAGTAACACCATTGATATTAGCAGGTCATTTTTGGGTCCCACAATTTAATGGACTGTATAGTGATTCGAATAATCGCACACATAATTTAGATTTATGTGAAGACACCCTGGAAGGTAAAATCTGCAAATTACAATCTGCTGTTTATGAACCCTGTTTATTGCAAAATACTGTTAATGTATGTGAATGGTCTATTTTACCCTTCACTTACCGGTGGATGGTGGAAATAGCCCCTCAAGTGGTTTGCATGGCAACTAATCAGTTGGCAGTACCCAAGATGATTACCCCATTTTCAGGATGTCTACACAATGTATCTCTCCTGATCTGGGAGAATTAAACATTTGTTTTAACCCCGGATCTGGATATACGTGTAAATGTGAAATGGTCCACCCCACCATTGGGGGTTGACAATTGGAATTTGAATTTAACGAAACTGTTAAAGATATTGAATGCTTCAGAACAGGTACACAAAGAAATTAAACATCTTAATAAAAGTCTTGCAAAGCATTTGCTCAGTACCATCATAGTTTCTGATAAAATAGTTAACTTAGGAAGCGCAATAGCTGCCGCTACGTCTCACCATTGGTGGGATTTATTTACTGGATACTCACCCTCTGCGGAACAGGCATTTACATTTTTAGTACATCCTGTTTTAGTGATGGCTTGTGTGGTCATCATACTTTCTATATGGAATTGTTATATGGCCTATAAGATGTTTTGTACAAGGCCTAAAGTTCTAATGGTCACCTATGCAGAACCGAGTCATTAAGGACCGATTGTGATACGATTCTGACGAGAATGATGTGTGTGTGTGACTTTAATTAGTTAAGTAATGACTCAGTTCTGCATATAGTGATGGATTTTGAGTAAGGTTAAATCTTTTTTTTCTTATTTGTTCTGATCAGGGGATGTGAGTATTTTACTTTAAATTTTGAATGGTGTAGGCTGTTTGATCACGCGCCGCACCTTTTGTAAACAATATACTGAGCATGTGCAGCGCGTGATATGTTTATATAACATGCGCATGCTTGTAGCGCGCTCATACAAACTAGCGCGTTCAGGACGGGCGTTCACACAAAGCTTATATAATAAAGTATTGCCAGTGTCTTTCCTCCTTGGCATTGTATTAACACTCACCTGAATGCTCCAGACCAGCAAACGGCTAAAACAATGGCTTTTATAGAATTGGTCACACTTACTGATGATCAAATAATCAAGTGCATTTGAATAACAGCACCTATCTCTTACTTAGCCACATAATTCATATGGAAGCAGTAAGGGTGTCCTTAGTTTTTCTGCAGGTTTTTTTTTTTTTTTTTTGCTTAATAAATCATGACATGGTGTATATTAGGTAACTATCTGTTTTATTTACCTAATTTTAAGACCTGCTGAGGAACACATGATTGTTATGTCCTTATATGTAAAACTAAAGAATTCAAAGAATTTCCTTTTCCCATGAAATCATAGGGATATGCTCATATTAAGCAACACGGGGATATAAACAGACAGTATTTATCATTATAAAAGTTAACAAACAAAAGCAATAAGAACAAATGTGAAATAACATTGTATTTTAAATTTGTTCTTATTTCTTTTACTTCTTTTTATCTTTCCTGGCTAAACCGGAAATGTGTCACGGAACCCGCAATTGATACATAGGCGTGACACACATGGACGGGACATACGAGACAATGAGCAGCAGATGTAATACAAGAGGATACCATACCCAACTGGTTTATGGCATTTTGAATCGGCACAAAAGTACATGTCTAAATAAAGATGCACTGAGGACCTTCATACAGTTGCTTTAATGTCTCTGACAAAGTCCGATACATGTAGGGCGGAGAGACATATACAGTGTTTTTATTGTTTAATTATATGTGATTCAGTGGGATTTTACCACAATCTCTGTCCCTGTTCCCTTGTAATCCAAACTGACTTCCTGCAATTGGGAAAGTGAGATGTTGATGTACGTTTAACTACATTTAATCTTGTAAGTGCAATTTAAATAAAGATGTAATTAGTTTTTGAAGTGTCACACTATGTGTATGTTTTTCTTTTTCCCTTATATGCATTTACTTGGGAAACGAGAAGAAACAAGGTTCTACAACTAAAAGTTTATATCTGCCTGTAATCAATTTTAGAAGTTATAAGTGCAATATTCCCCATATCCCCATATTATTATATTATTCTATTGGTGGTCCTCTTTTATTTTTATGTTCCGTGGATTGTATATTTATATATATATATATATATATATATATATATATATATATTCAGAAGATATTAGAATCATCCTACCATCTACAGTGCACCCTAAGGGTATTTTTTGTATTATCTTTTGATATCCACTATTGGTGTCCACTGTGGGTTATAGTGTGCCTTCATGTTGAGTACTGTCTGTCGACTATTATCCATGTTATCCTCTTCTTCTGCAGATTGAAAAACATGCTTTAAAATATTCAGCAGTTCAAAATCCAAAACAACTTTGAAAAAAATAGAAGAAAATGTACAGAAGTCAAAAAAGCAGACAAAATGCAAACAAAAATATTTTTTTTTTCCACACTGCATGAAAGATGTACATTTAATACACAGAATACATACAGTTTGCATCACACTTGAGATGCTTGGTAATTAACATTGCTTTCCCAATACGGTATTATTCACTTCCAGTGCACTGAATCTGCAACTCTCCTGAACAGGAACGTTTAACCAGTTTTGCTATTTAGTTTACTATTCACTTCTCAACTAATCACAAATCAATATATTTGTGTGTGTGTGTGTGTGAAGAATACCCATAGATTTATTTGTTTATGTTCTGTAATGTAGTGCAATAAAAGTAAAAACTCTACTGGATTTCAAACATGTAAAATTTCATTGAGTGGATGTTTCACTATAATTTCCCACTTCTACTTTGCTAGACATGCCCCTTTATACTTCTTTGCAAATATTGATTTGTTTCATTTGTCAAGTCTGCTTTTAACTTCTTTTGACATTTGCTATTATTACTTTAGGGGCATTTAGTGTATGGGCTGTTGAAAGACATACACTTGTAAGCATTAGTATTTAATCAATATCTTATTTCCATTAGAGAGACCTAGTAGACTATCCTGTATTGACTCAAAGAGCAGTGAGCATAGGCTAATGTCTAAGTCAGTGAATAATACTGTGTATGCTATTCTTTAACTTTAGAATGCACTGCACCCTTGACTCACCTTGGAAACATTTCTAAAAACCAATTATGTTGGTCAGTTTCTCTCCCAAGTTACAGATATTTTGATTTTGTTATTGTTATTATTTTGCATTGACACTTTAGTTGAATGTCAACACCCACATGAGTCAAAACAAAAAATCATTATAATTTTGATATATTTCAAAATATATTTTAGTTTGTTTAATGCCTTTGCAAAAAAAGAAGCATGCAATGTATTTTAAGACATCGTAAATAGATTTTTAAATTTGCTTTAATGACATTTAAATATAATAGAGTGAGAAGGTTAAAGCAGAAGTGTAGTGTAGGCATATATTACTGTGCTGCTCAAATAATGCCATATTACAACTCCTATAATCCTCAATCCTCAGATTATAATCCTCAACAACATTTGAAGGGACACAAAATGACATATCTGGTGTAGCAGAGTATAAATCAAGCAGGCATAGCAATATTAGATTTTTATTGCCAAATGTTGATTCTTCTAAGCAAAATTTCCAAATT